AGTTCTCCTATATCTTTCCCTGTCAGATTGTGTCATTCTTCAACTGTTTCTCAAGTTCTCCCAAATGCCTCCTCTTCAGATCAATGCCTGTCCTTCACAAGTCCGAACTTCTCCAAATCACCTTCAGTTTTCTTATTTAACTTTGGCCATACATCCTTCTCATTTAGAAGCCAGGAGTAGAATTCATTAGAGAGGCCATAGAACAGAGATGAAGAGACTTATGGTGCTGAGAAGCCCATTGTATTAAACTGGAAGGTCCAAAAGCAGCTGAAAATAGCTTTTGCTAATTTAACATAGTCACCTATTTAATTATTTTTTTCCAGTGGGCAGATGACAATATAAATATCCTCGCTTAAGGGTTGCTCACAAGATGGTTCTTGCTGATCAGTGTAAGGAAGAAATCACCTTTTCTCCTAAGCCTTCGTAAGAATGCATTTGAAGGAAAATTCAGCTCCTTCTTGGGAGTTAATTTTCAAAAGAGGGTTTATTATGGATGAGAAGTCCATATAATCTTATGGCTCCTGAGGGATCTATCAATTACCAGTACTTAATGCAAAAGAGCAGATCTGCTGTAATATGAGACTACCTGAGGAAAGTGTCCCTCCATGGGTGAGAATATGTAGGTATGATTGAAGATATACAAGACTACTATTATTGTAGTGGAAAACAGGATAGAACTTTATGAAACATGGGCAAAAGTGTGTGCTAATACATTTTGGAGAAAAGCTATGATTTGTAATCTAGTGAAACATGCTAAATAAATGTCCAAATATAGTGGAAAGTGTTCTTGCCCGGGAAATGAGGGGGAAAAAACCCAACTAAGTGACCACAAATCACTAACGTGGTAGGACCCAGTGTCTCCCAGTTACCCATTCCCCCCTCGATGAATGGGTAAAGAATGATCATTATGGTTAAATCAAAATCTTTTACCTAAAGGTTTTTTGCTTTCTATTTAATTCGTATACAATGCCTTTTAAAAATGAAGTGGGGCATACTTGTGTACAAATATATATTAATATACATACATGATAGATAACATATCACATATACATTGCATTCCTCTAAACAACATTGGCATAGGTTGGGACCAAAACCCCTACATATAAATATAATAAATAAAAAACCCAACATGTATATGTCTATATTTACATATAGATATATACCTATATATGTATATTTACATATAGATATATACCTATATATGTATAAATTTTTGGTTTCAACCTGTGGTGGAGAGGAATAAATATTGGATTTAGAGTCAGAGGACCTGGGCTGAAATCCCAGCTCTGCTACTTACTGCCTCTGTGATCATGGGCAAGTCACTTTACCTTCTCTTGCCCTCAGTTTACTAATTTGTAAAATAAGAGGTTTAAACTATATAACCTCTGAAGTCTTTTACCACTAAAGGGGGTAGGGAATAAGCATTTATATAGCACCTACTATATGCTAGGCACTGTGCTTTTTTTTTGGTCTCATTTGATCCTTATAATAGTCTTTCCAAATGGGAGCTATCATTCTCATCTTAACAGCTGAGGAAACGGAGGCAAACTGAGGTTCAATGAATTGCCCAGGGATAACATAGCTACTATCTTAATCTGAATTTGAACTCAGGCCTTTCTAACTAAAGACCCAGTGCTTGCTCCATCTTGCCACCAGCTTTCATATAGCTATGCTCCTGATTGGTGTGGGGAACTCCCAGACTTAACATTCCTTCTCACTTGTCCAAGGTCTCAAAGTCAAGAATGTCAGAGGAAAGAATTGTACTTGGGTCTTCCTAATGTTAATCCTTTATTTCAGGAATGATGCTTCTCAAAGTGATCTATTCTGACCACTTAAATATAGCTCATGTAATCTCTATCTTTGCTGTCCTTATGAGAACTAGTATGTAGGCTATTTTATTTTTAACTCCTAATACTTGTTAGTCATGTCCTCAGAGTCTTACTAAAAAATTATGCTTTCAAAAAGACCTCTGTAAACTTAGATCAGTAACAGAAAAATCCTATTGAGTAAATTCACAGGGAACTAGCATCTTTACTTATGGCATTTTCTAGAATTTTTAATTCAAAAATACGTAATGAGAGCATCATCTATGGATAAAGCACTGGGAACTACGTAAGTACAAGTTGAAGCACATCAACCACCAGGAAATGTACTCTTCTTACATCTGCCAGTAGCTAGTTGTGTATTAGGGTAAATTACTTAACCTCTGCCTGTTTGCTCATCTGGAAAAATGAGAGAATTAGACTTATCTAAGATAGAATTGGACTAATCTAAGGCCCCTTACAGTGTTAAAAATCTAATTCTATTAGTTTTGCAATTTACCGAGAAGGGAAAAAAGATTCCCACAAGGATCTAACAGCAGCTAATGCAAAATACTTTGTATTTTTGTTTGAGTTGTTCCAAAGAGAAACAACACACATTGCACTAACTTCCCTGGGCCTCAGTTTCAGCATGTTAAATGAATCCGATTAGATGATTTCTAAGGGGTTATCTCCTTTAAATCCTATGATCCTGCTACTTCCAGTTAAATTAATCAGAAATGAATCAGTCTTACTTTAAAAAAAAACTGAAACCCAAACAACTTGGTATTACTGTTTTACCCTCTAGGGCATAATAAACTTGGGTTGTTAATGCCCAAAGTTGAAATTGCAAGGAGAAAAGCAGATAATTTCGTTAATTCCTTTTTGGAGTTAAGAGAAGGAATAAAAAGGACACATAAGAAAATCCAGGTCCCTCTAGCACTAACCCTGAGCTAAGCAATTGATTGGGGTACCTTTGCATCAAACAAATTTAATTGGGAGTGCTTTAATAATATATTCAAGATGATCATAATTTCCTTCTCATCAGCCCTTTAAAAGCCACAAGCATTTCAGCTACTTCTTTAGGTCAGCCCTTAATACTCCTCATCTAGATTAATGTGACAACTTCCTAAACGGTTTCTCTGCCAGTCTTTTCCCTCCAATACATTATCTACATAGTTATCAAAGTGATACTCAGAAAACTCAAGACTGAACATTTTATTCTCCTACTCAGGAAGCTGCAGTGGCTCCCTCTAGTTGCCTCTAGAATAACATACACACTCCCATTTGGCTTTCAGAACCCTTTATAACCGAGTTGCAATCTACGTTTTCGGGCTTATTAAACTTCCTTTCCTGCATCCCATCCTCCAGCCAGCCTAGCCCTTATTCATGACATACCATCTCCATCCACATCTCAAGAATTTTATCTGCTTTCATATCTCAGTTGAAGTGCCATCTCCTACAATAGACCTTTGCTGATCATCACTCCAAATTTCCTTTGTATATCCTCATATATGTAGATGTCTGACAGAACATAAACTCCTTGAAGGTAGAAACTTTTGTCTCTGTATTCCTAGCACCTAGTAAATATTCAATATGCTTGTGGATTAATTTCATGTCCATGCAGAAAAATGAAAATCTGTTTTTGTTTCCCCAGTGGGTGGACAAGTACAGATCCTTCTGATTCAGTGACATAACATGCTGGAGATCAATGTTTTTTTTCTAAGTGTTCTGCAATCTTAAATTCAGAGATACTTCAGATTCCTTAGCATATTTTTGATGTTGCCATTCTCTAAAATGTGCTTCCCCATATATCATATACACTTTGTATATAGTTAGCACTTCACATTTTTTCAAAATACACATACATGTTTCTTGACTCCGTAAGTTAACTAAAGGGATTTTATTGGGGGGAAACATGCAATGGAAACACACATTTGAAGTTCTTCTGGCTTTGAATGTTTCAAATTTTTTCATCGCCATACTCTTGCAATTATTTGTTTTGTCATGTCTTCTTCCTCATTTATTGTCTGGTATCCATCCATAATTTTCAGATAATAACAATGAAATCTTCTTTATTCAACTTCAACATATTTAACACTCAGTTATGCTCATGAAAAGTGACTAATGGGTATCCCACTTTAAGAAGGGAATAAGAACATCACACTTTTTCTACTAAAATACACATTATGGGAAAGAAAATTACTGCTTTTTCACTTAAAGTACAATCTTGGGGTTCTCCTTCAGATATATGCTTTTTCCATATGTGGGATAATAGTTATTTCCTACTCAATACACAGGTATACTTAAGGCAGAGCAAATTTGAATGACCACTTTTCCATTTGAGATCTCTAATTCAAATGTAAAAATATCAGTTTTATGTTTATTCAAAATAAAATTAGCAGAACACTAAGGATACCTACTTTGTTGTAAAGACTTTCTCTACAAAACATAAACTAATACTTCTCATCCTTAAAATCCCAGAAGCTATTTTGCACAGCAAAGAATTTAATATTGATTTACAAAACAATGCTTTTCTCAATCACTTTGATTTTATATACTTCTGCCACACCCACCTCAGAGGACTTGTAGTTAATTTAGCATAGCTATTGTGAAATATGCCTTTGATCTTGCCTTAGAAGCAGCCATAATTACAAATTACCTATTTTTCCAACGTGGTTATTTCAGGTAACAAAATTGTAGACTAGTCTCCTCTTTAATAATGGTAACTCAGTTTGTTAAAGATTACAAATTTTAATGAGACTGAATACTTCATTACCTCAGGATGATCACCAGTTGGGTTTGTGATTAGCATGAACTCATGTATAAAACAAGTCATTCTTGATAATAAATTTCTCTGATTGATGCTTATCAAATACTTGTATATAGTTTGGACAAAAATCCTGGAGGCTTTCCACTGACTTAAAAAAAAACCCAAAACAAACTAGATGTTCTAAGTGAACTATCCCTAAATAGCATGACATAAAATCTGCCCAACAAAATTTAAAATGTCTCACTGAATGATTATCTTATGAGATTTACTCAACAAGCTTTGGCATATTCTTGGCAGGTTATATATTCAAATCTTAGGAACCCAATTTCACAGATAAGAGTTAAGGGAGAGAACCTTAATTTGAGATGACATGCTGTTATCTAACTGACATACGGTAATTAAAAAGTATGTGAAAAAGGTGGCATGTATATATGTGTATATATGTATTTGAAAGTTTATTCATTGTATAAATTTTCATTTCTTTTAAAGATTACAAAACCTGACGACTTGTGCCAGGAATACAAGCAATATCTTTCCAGAATTGTTCATGTATACAATTGAAATAGCTTAGATTACACATTAACAATATGATTGGAAAATTTCCTAGACCAGACTTGGGAATAATTTAATCATTTAAATTGTTCAGTAATATTTGATCTTTTATGAGCATTTCATTATTATGGCAGTAGTGCCAAGCATCTGATGCTACTTTAACTGCCTAATAAAAGGTACAATACATTATTAATTTATGATGTAGTACCTTGGGCTTCCTGGCATGCCATACTAGAGAAACTAGTATAAAGTATAATCATATAATAGTAGAAAAATATTTATCTGATTTTTCTTTTTTAAAAACTGTTAAAGTACATTCCCACTCTAACCCCTCCACCCCCAGCAAAAACCGCAAAATAATTACATCCCTCATGTATACATCTCCCTTTTTGATTAGGATAAGAGCTAAGATAAAGCTAATAAATTTATATAATTTTTGAGTTAAAACTCATCACCCAATAATTTTTAAACTTACCAAGGAATGGCATACCATGAAGCTTATTGTTTTCTTCCAAATAAAGAAGCAAAGCTTTAGAGTACTGTAAACTGCATTTACTAAGATAAAACAAAACAAGCTATATATTCTTATGTCCTTGCTTTGTATTTAAAATTCTGTTTTAAATACATCAGCTGAAAATGCTCAGTATGTGTTTTCTTCAATACTATAATTTTTTACAATAGGAGTAAAAATCTTCACCCCACTGGATTGCAGAACTAATCTACTTAGTATTATAGCCAGCCTCTCTATCCTCTCTCATACACTTACATATAGTAACTGGCAACTTAACTCTGAAGTTTTTTTTGTTTGAGGTTCCTCTGTGAATTATATCCATTTTTTCCTTGTCTAGTAATCTCTACTTGCACTCTGCTAGAAGATTTGGTAGTAATCACCAAGACAAAAATCTAAATTGTTGATCATAAACTTCAAGGTTATGTAGCATTCATGAGAAAAGTGCCTTAAGAAGATAGGCCCTCATCCCAACCTTTAGTATTCCTTTTAAACAAACAGTTAAAAGACTAGTCAAAACAAAGTGATGAACAGGAGATCAAGATCCCAGGTTTAAGAAAACAAAGTTGCTTGGGTACTGATTTCTTTGAGATGCACTGTGTCACATAGGAACCAAATGAAAAACTGCTTTTTCAAAGCACATAGATAAAAATAGCACTAATTTGTTTCTGATTGCTTTGCTTGTCTAGTATAGCTATACAGATCCATCAACTGGAAAAAGAGTGGTTATACTGGATCTGCAGAGTACCACAGGTATTAATAACCTCATTTTATTCCTTCATTTAGAGATTTCCACAAATTCTCATTTAAAATTAGCAAAATATAAGCACCCTGGAGATAAAGAGGGCTACCCTTATTAACTGCAGTCACAATACTAATTTAAGTCATCTGTTAACACATCTAATCTAGTCCCTGAATTTAAAATTACAAGGATCAAACCCTAAACTTAACTTGTTTGTCATAAGAAGCTCCATCTACCACAGTAACAGACCTAGCAGGACTGAGACTTTCTGGGACAAGCACAAAATCAATCCTGGAAATAGTCATAATACAATTATACACATTTAAATAGAAAATACCTGGATGTGATGCCTAATATCTCTAATGAACCAGAAAAAGTTAAAAGTGATTTGTAAAAAAATCTTAATTTTAATACAATCTCTTAAAAAAGAAAACAACAAAACGAATGGTGGATGTGCTCCAAATAATCTTTAGAATGCTGGGGGTAATGTTAAATTACTAGCACTTCAGAAAACTAAACAATGCTTTCTAATAACTAATACTTTAATTTTAAAAAGCCTCCCAATTCATTACTGGCAATGCAAGAAGACAAAAGAGGAAGCTTTTTCAAAACAGAATATTACCTTGTAGATACTACATGATAGCTTAATTGGTGAGGGAGATAAGATTACATGTCCGTGTTAATACAATAACTAGAGAAATGTGGAAGAACTGGATTCATAGCAATTAATAAAAAAGGGGAAGTTGGATGAAAAAATGGGCCCTGAATTATTTTCATAACCTGCTTTTTAACCAACTGTGATAGCTTTGTGATTATATGAATTGCTATTTACAGAGTTAAGACAATTTATCTAAATCTAGCAGGTAAGATCACACTTCTTTGATGATACTAAAATCAGAGTATCCAATAATACAGAGTGTATTATAGTTATTTGTGTACATAGTCTCCCTTATCAGTTCTAAGCTCCCTGAGGGCAGGCACTTTTTTATTATTCTGTGCCTCAGAAGATAATAGGTATTCAATAAATATTTGTCTGATGAATGCTAATCCTAAGAAAAAGGTAAATCTTAATTTACTTGTCAAGTGGATTGGGAAGTCTTAAGATTCTAGGGTTGGAATGAACTTCTAGCAGCTCATCTAGCCCATCTCCCTCATTTTACAGATAACATAAATGAGGCCCAAAGAGGTGACATAGTCTCACAAGTAATAAAAGGCAGAGCTTCTGACTTCAAATTCAAGATTCTTTTCATTATACCAGTTTGCCGTCTAGTAAACAGCTATGTGACCTTGAACAGGTTATTTCAAATCATAGAACCTTATAGCTTAGAGGGCCTAACCCTCTTTTTAATGTGAAGGAAACTGAGTCGTTAACTTTTCTGGCCTTGTTTCCTCATTTGTAAAATGAAAGGGTGGGAATGGATGATTTCTAACGTCCTTTTTCCTGCTCCAAATGGACAATTTTATGATTGACAATTGCCTTTTAAATTTTAGTCAAATAACTTCAGTACAAACAAAACAATCTGCCTGAATTGTATCTTGTCCTGCCCCAAATCATGAACATAATGTAAAACAAACAATGTTAATGGATGTCAGTGTGAGCCATGCTTAGTTCAACCAGGGTCAATGAAAAATATTTCTTCTTTCCAGGCAATGAAGAAAATATGAATACTTTCCTAGATACCAGCATTACCTATGCTAAAATAACTTCAAGAACTTTAAAGTTTCTTTCTGGTGCCCCACCTATGTTATATTATTTCATTTGATTTCTGATAACCATTCTGGATAACTTGGGGTACAAATATTTAATTCAGCAATCATCTTTCTTATTTAGTTTTAATCTCTCTTGTCATTTAACTTACTTCCAATCTACAAGATGTTACGGAAATAGTGGTATTTCTCTTTCATTCAAAATCATTAAAAACTACATAATTTATACAGAACTCAGCCTTGTTTCTGTTCTTGGTATTTGTAACCTCAAATCTATAGGACATAAATTAATAGGCTAGCTCATAAATTTAAGGCCTGATAAACAGCTGCCATAAGATGTTTAGATAAACCAAACCAAAGCCTTCTGGTTTTATACTCTCATATAGAAATAATTAAAGCTTTTGGCAGGAAAAAGTTTCTGATTTATATGGCTTAGTGTATAAGATTTAACTAAGCACATTCAGAATGAGGTACATTAGCTTATTCCTTGCACAAGTATCTTTCATGATACTTAGGATTGATTAGTTAATAGCAGAAAGGGAACTAAGTTAATTAACCACGATCACGGTCTGTTAACAGTGACATTCTGCAAAACAAGCATATATAATGATGTCTGGTATTCTGGCAGAGATATGCTTCAGACACTTTGGGTGGGCAATCACGTTTGCATAAATTTCAATGGTGAAACAAAATAGTGATACCTGCCACATCATATCTCTTTGATGAACGCTGACAGTCTAGGTGAGTGTGGTGACTAGTCAGAATGAAGTATCCTGGTTCCAGATGTTCAGGAGTATATAAAATCATTCATAAAGATGAACTAATTCCTATTTTATCTTTTCCAACTCAACACTGGATGGTCAAGAATACTTTTTGCTATAGGATAAGGTTTAAGTTCAATTTCAAATTTAGAGCAGTGATTTATGCATCAATTTCAAACCAGTACCTAATACCACAGCTACAATGGACACTGAGTTTTTGATGATCTTTTCTTATCTGTCTTACAGTTATAACTCCCAAATAAAATTTAAAACAAAAATTAAACTACAAACAACCAATATTAACCAATACCACTCAAGATTAAAAAGTTCAAGGGGGAAGATTTCTTAACTAAGAAGAAAAAAACAAACAAAATCAACAGAGTTGCAAAGTGGATAGGCCTACTTTCTGGCATATTTTTGATACCATGCCACACATGCATAATAATGCACCATTTCAACTTGCCCTATCACAACAGCTCCCTAGATTTGCATGACAGTGCACCTCACTTTAAGAACAAAATCAGTGACATAGACATGAGGAAGGGTTTATACAAGATCATAGTATTACATTCAATAGCTGTTGAGCAATCAGGCAATTTTCAAGCTGTCCAACAATACTGATTAATCCAGGTGAACTGCTTAACCAGATTTAATTGTCAAATTGATTCATAATAAGGTCCAAGTTAAACAAGGCATGTATACATTAAAGAAAGCAGTACAGAAATGTACTGTATATGAATTGTTTACAAAAACATACAAAATGCTGGATGGCACAAAGGATACAGTGCTAATATAAACGGATTGTTTAAGTTAAGTGCTTAACAGAAACTGTCCATCCTTATAAGTAACAAAGAATATTTTGGGGGACAAGGAATATTCCCTATAAAAATAATGCTATATGGTAAAGAGTACTTTATTATTCAGTGTGTGTATGTATATATATGTATATATATATATTTTATATATATATATATATACACACATATAAACCTATATGTGTATATATATTTGTTTAATGACAGAGGTGGTGTTCATGACTCTTCTGGTTGATTCAGTGAACATATCTTCATTGTTTCCATTTTTCACTCCATCCAAAGCTCCAGAAAAGTCTAACTTGCCAACAATCATTTAAAGCAAGAACAGATGAAAGCAGGAGCAGCAGGAGCAGCAGCATTATGGGTACCAGCTGGGACAGTGTGTGCTTGCAGGTATCTCTCAGGTATGTGCTACCTGTTGCCATGATTTGTGCTATCATCTTATACCATGGTACCAAGTAAATGGTTGAGGTCACTTCAGAGAGCTGTTGAGGTGATTTTTTTAATACCTCTCCGCTGAGCAAGTGTAGAGCGGCCTACTGGCTCCAAAACTGGTGACTGGTTGCGGTTTAGAGCAGAATATGTAGCTGCCATAGCACCCTAAAGGTATATTAAAAAAATATGTATATTTAGTTGATTTATATTAGCTGTATGACTAAAATAAACCACCAGGCTAAAATATCTCTTTTGGATAAAACACACAAAGACAACGGAGGACCAAGTTTAGGGTGGGAAATGGAGCACTGTATTTTGTTTGGTGGGATGACACTGGGAGTTATTTTGTTGCAGTCACATTGAACAATCCTGTCTCTTTTATTAAGAATTAAGGGCATGAACTCTACAATGTCATAATCTTAGAAGCAACAGTATTTTGTGGCTATCTTTTTTAGAGGAGAACCTGTATCACACCACTATCATGTGAAAGGAACTGGGGTGTCTTCAGAGAGACTTGCACCGGACAGTACACATTAACCATCTGAACAGGCAGATGGAGGAACTAGGGTCCCAGCAGTTGCCTACAGTAAAGTTAATGAATGATTCTACCCAGGAAAGGTTTTGTTTCTATAGAGTTAGGAGCAATCTATGCTAAACAATCTCACATTCTTTAGTAAATGAACCTTAAGCTGCTTTTTAAAAAAACAACTAATTTTATGTAAGGAAAGCTTAAATATGACTATATTAAATTCAAATTTCATTAATTTATAAAACTAATTTTGGCTAGACATAAGACTATTTCATTTCACACAATTCAGATTTAAGCTTAAGAAGCATTAGGAAATCCAAAAATATCCACTACTTTTTTCAAAATTAAAGTATACCCACCTAAGATTTGTAGTGAATTCAGAAATAATTTTCCCTTTTTTTGTGAATTTTAAAAAATTCTGAACTTAACAAACACCTGTATATAAAACAAACACTTCCAAATTCATAAGACAGAAAAAAGCTTGTACATGGAACATCGAATCTATTATATTCAGCATAATTTTCTTTTAAAATAAATAATAGTGACTTTCAAAGCTGTCCTGCTTGCTTTTGTTCCTTTCTGACCTCTCTTGTGTTTCTGAGTTAAAAGTTCCTACTGATTTCTTTTCTTCCTTATCTACTCATTGTAATTTGTTGAGATAGCTCCCAACAGAAGGCAAATGCTCAATAACAATGGAAGAGTGGAGGAAGGGGACAGCAAGAATCTCTAGAAATCTTTATTTAGTCATCAGTGTCTCCTGGACCGTCTTAAAAATGTTAAGTTATATTAGCAAGTTTACCTTTACTAGGTGTGGAGCATCTTGTCTGTTTAGCTGGTATTGGGGCAACTGGTCCCAGTGAACTATCCAGGGATGTCTAAGTACAAGGGCAGCAGTTAATCTTTGATGTGGATCTACATGAAGCATTTTTGAAACAAGATCCTGTAATCATAATAAAAGAAATTTAATGTTGTCTTTTGAGAGTATAAAAAGAGAAATGAGGAGAGTCTAGGACACAGCCTTGGAGAACACATACAAAATTAGGGGATGTAATAGGAACAATTACCTAGGAGAGGAGACTGACAAGGAACAGTCTGACAAGTAAAAGGCAAATTAAGAGTAAAAAGTCTTATAAACTTGGAGAGGGGAGAGTATCAAACGGGTCAGTATTGTCTAATTTAGTACAGAGATAAAAAAGGATTGGGATCAAGAAAAAACCATTAAATGTTATCAGTTAAAAGATCATCAGTAACTTTGGAGAGAGCAGTTTCACTAGAATGATGAGGTCAGAAGTTAGATTGAAGAGGGCTGAGAACTGAGTGAGAGGAAAGGAAGAAGAGGCAATCTTTGTAGACAGCTTTTTCTAAAAATTTGAGAAAAGGAGGAGAGAGAAGTAGGTTAGGGTTCACTGAGCATTTTGTAAGGATAGGGAGATTTAGACCACAAGGATGAAAAAGAGCCAGTAGACAGAAAGAGATTACTGGATATATTTGGGTTTCAGTGAAGATTCCTTTCACGAATGAGTCAGATTAGATTGTTGTGTGTGGAGGTACTTCCAACTCTCAAATCCTGTGATACACTGATTGAAGAGTAGCAAGAGAAAGGGAATGACTGTAGGGGTAATCTTTTGGGAGAAGATGGGACCAAAGGAACATGCGTAGGTGCTGGCCTTGGTTGATGGGAGACTGGAGCAAAGGAAGAAATACTACATATCAAATGGTTTTAATACACAAATAAGAGGAGAAAATGGAATTCATGGTGAATGACCTCTATTTTCTTAGTTAAGTATGGGGGTAGTTCTCTACTGATGATTGGGGGAGAGGTGAGGTAGGAAGGTTGAAGAGAAAAGACAAAGTGTAAACTAGTCACTGTGGGGAGCAGGACAGAGTATCAATTAGAAAGGAGTAAAATGAACAGCAATCCCTAGTTAATATTACATAAATTCCTGATGAAACTAGTCCAAAAGGTATGCCACTATATAACTAGCTTCATTTGCCAAAATGAATAACAGGAAAAGTAAGCAGATGGTGGCACTAATACAAGGATCACAATATAGTTGCAAGCAAGAAATATTTATGAAATTAAGCAAAGATATAGATACATTTTATAGCTGCTATTCTTCAGTGTGTAATTATAACACATCCAAGACTCAATTAACAAGTTCTGATTAAGAATCCATGCCATGCCAGATTCTGGAGCTCCAAGTACAAAAAATGCAATAATGTGCAAGGAGGAAAACAAACAAGTACTTATAAAAAATATACAGCATAAATATAGAGTAAAATAAGAGTGCATTCCAGGCATGAAAACAACAGGTGCAAAGGCACAGAAATGGGAGACTGACAGACTGTGAGTGATAGTTAAAGAACATGTCAGGGCAGGATGGACTGCAAAGTGAAGAAGGGGCAGTAATGTCCAATGAAGTTAGGAGAGGTCCAAGGTTAAAGGCAGAAGTTTATATTTTATTCTAGAGGCAACAGAAGTCACTGGAGTTGAGTAGGGGAGTCGCTTGGTTGTATCTGTGCTAAAGGAAAATTACTTTGGCAGCAGTGTGAAGGACAGTTAGGAGGATGTTACAATAATGCAGGTGAGAGATGATGAAGCCTGAATTAAGGGGATTGTTGTGTGACAGAAGGGGTTGGAAGCCTGAGGGGAAGGATTGTTTTGACCACTCTTCAGGTTTGGTAGGCTTGGGGTAAATCTAAGAAGCCAACAGAACTCAAGCCTTGGCTCAGCTGCTTGAAAAGAACAACATAAAATCATGACAACTCAGTAGGAATGTTATTTTCATACACCTCCTCTGTTAAATCGGCTGCAATGGTAATGCCCTCCCATAGATGATAATATAGGGTGTTTAGGAGATTTAGTGGTTAATTTGAGGACAAATTAATCCATGTTACAGCTTTTAATGGAACAATGGAACTCAACTCTCTTAAGTACAAGGGCTATGGACCAGAAGACCATGTATCACAAAGATGAATTCCCCAAAAAGGGGGATTCTAAGTTGGGCATCAATGGTTAAAGTGACTGTTTTCAGTAGTACTGAAGTCAAGCAATTATCAGGGATCCTATTGTTTTTAAGGAAGAAAAATCAAGAAGTTAGGTTGATACAGCATGAACCATGATCAAATCATGTGAATAGGATAGAGGATCAAATAGGTTGGTATAAACTCCTAAGTCTGGCATCTAAGGCCCTCCACAATATGAATATGGAGCTCAGGAGAGATATCATGGGGATAAAATGCTGTGCTGAGGCATATAAAACTGCCAAGAGGGAACATATAAAGAAATGAGAGAAGTGAGTCAAGGACAGAACTTTGAACAATCTTCTTATTGGGTGAAGAAGACATGGAAACATTAAAGGAGAAGAAACAGGAATGTATAGTTCCTTCAGAAGCCAAGTAAAGAAAGAAAATTCAGAATTAGAGGGTTGTTAACAGCATTAAATACTTAAATGAGATTAAGATTAAAAACATCACTGCATTTGGATAACACTAGCAACCTCTGATGTAGAAATTTCAATAGAGTTGTATGATAGGGGAAGCTGGACTCTAAGGGATTGAGGAGAGAGAAGGTAGCAAGGAGTGGGTGTATGCAACATTCTCAAGGACCTTAACATTGTAAGCAAAAGCCAGGAGTACTTTCTGTATTGGCTGAGGTAACAGTTGGAATTACATCATTGCTTGGGACATCAAAGATGAGAATCTTTCTCCAAGGGCCTGAATAATTTAAACCAACATGTTCCTCTTAATCTAGTATTATTTAGGGTTTCTAATGAAAAGTCACTTTGGAAGGATAATCAAAAAAGGTCAAATACCTCTAGGGGAAAAAAAGAAACAATGGGATAATTTTTTACCTAAGTATCAAGAATACTATGTATTAACCCAAAATCTTGGCATACTTTTCATATGTTTATATGAACATGTAACATAAGTATAAAATTATATAATATAAATATAAAATTACCTTTGCTGTGTCTGAAACGGAATTCCAATAGCCACCACTGAGTGAGAACTTTCCACTGCCTATTCGTGCCAGTATCTCTTCTGGGGTATCATCAGGACCATTTGCAAATGGAGTGTAGCTAATTTGCAATAAAATTGAAATGTAACTACATTTTAAGACTTTGGCTTGCTTGTAAATGTTACTTTATCAACGATGGATATTGCTCAAATGTGAATTACTGGAGGCCCTGTGTGCTTTGTCTTTGTATCTGAAATACCAGAGATAGAACACCTCAGCCTGATTTCTCTCCCTCCCTCTCGATTCATGTATTTATGTATGTATGTATCTATGTATGAGCAGCTAGGTGGAGCAGTAGATAGAGTGCCAGGTCTAAAGTCAGGAGGACTCATCTTCTTGAGTTCAAATCTGGCCTCAGACACTTACTTATGTGACGTTGGGCAAGTCACTTATTGCTGTTTGCCTGAGTTTCCTAATCTGGAAAATGAGCTGGAGAAGGAAATGGCAAACCATTCTAGGATCTTTGCCAAGAAAACTCCAAATGGGGATAAAAGAGTCGGATATGACTGAAAAATGATTAAACAACAACATACACCCATCTTTATACTTGTGTTACATAGGGCAAATCACCCAATCATTGTGACTCAATTTTCTCACATGTAGAATGAGAGATTTAGACTCATGTTCTCTAAAGTTCCTGCAGCTCTAAACACTGACCTAAAACTTAAGCTTCATAATAAAAAGTGAAAGTGTAAGCTGGAAAGAGTTAATTATCTTTCAAACAAAACCAACTTTCCTTTTTTTATATTAAAAAAAGACTTTATGGGGTCACTTTTACGAAGTTGTTATTCTTGCATGTCCTAAGATTTCCACAGGTCTAACCTCTCAATAAACAAAACATGTTTAAAAATTTGTGCCCAATTGGCTACATGGTTGTGCTGCTGGGATATGAAGCCTGTTACCATTAATTAGTATATAAAAGTGAGGGTAGGATATTGGTGACTAAAAAGCTATGGTTATCTGGTGATTATTTACTGGAGTTAGATTTCTTCACAGTGTAAAACCAGTTTGCTGTGTAACTAGCATTTAGCAAACAACAGAAAATCCTATGTAATGAGAGAATCCATATAGCATTAGACCTATAGAGACAATTCCTCTAAAATTCTTCAGCTTCTCATTTTACAGATGAGAACCTGGTGGCATAGACAAGCAAAGTGACTAGCCCGATAACATATAGCTAATAAAGTGGCACACCTGGAACCTTGACTCCATGTTACCTGGCTCCAAATTAAATATTATTTGTACTATAAAACACTACCGAATAAAATTGGGAACAGAAATTACCATTTTAAAAACTCTATTCCAGTTATGTCACAAATAAACATTATTATCAATTCAAGGACTTTTTCACATGTGCAATAAACTAAAAATCCTTTTTTAGACATAAAAACATTGTAGACTAAAGTATCCTGAAACAGAAAATTTTTTTTACACCAAACTCACAAAGTTTATTCAAGGAAGATTTAACACGCAGTATGTATTTTTAATTAAAATATGAGAAATTAGCATAAGCCAGGTAGACATTCCATAGAAAATCATCAATGATAATCTAATTACAGATGTGATATAAATAAAGATTTAGATCTGATAGATTTCATAAAAAAATTAACTAAAAATCTTCCACAGAAAGATTAAGTCCAAGATTTAAAAAAAAAAAAGGCTGACATTAAACTTAAAATACATAGGAGGGATAAAGGGCGAAGAAATATTTATGACAGACACAGGAACTCACCCAGTAAGCATTGTATAAAGAAGGACACCAAGGCTCCATATGTCACATGCAGCATCATACCCTTGTCTTTTTAAAACCTGTAAAAACAAAGCTAATATTAATAATTCACAGAACCCTGATTTAGATAATAAATTTTTGTTTGTTAAAATTAGATTTGTCATGGACTATTTATCTTCCCTGAAACAAAGCTACATAGAAAAAACACCTGATATTTGTGCTGTCCTTCATCACCAGTGTTACAAAGTTTGATTCAAATTAATTTTGATTGTAACAGTCAACACATTAAGTTCTACTGTATACAGTAGAGATCAATATAGCAAGTACTATGGAAGCTGAGGAGTGTGTGTGTGTCGGTGTATGTATATGTATATGTATATGTATATGTATATGTATATGTATATGTATATGTATATGTATATGTATATGTATATGAATGACAATGATTTTTCTCCAAGGGGCTTCCTTCCTTCTCAGAGCTACAGATTATTAGACTGCAGCTGGTTATAAATGGAAGACATTCTGGAAGCTGTGAATTTAGGTGTGGGTTTTGAAGAAAAGGAGAGTAATGTATTAGTATAGAGAAAGGCATACACTTAGAAAGTACATAAGGCACAGAGGTAGAAGAAAGCAAGTAATGTGAAAGTTATGACAAGCATGTCTGCTTAGCTGAAGCAGAAAACATATGCTGAGGAGTAATTAGAAATTCAATCCACAAGTAAAGGTCCTGAAGGCCAGGCAGAGAATTCTGGATCTGATATATTAGGGAAACATTTTAAGTTTAAGTAGTAAGTTTAAGCAGCTGGGTGGGGCAGGGGGTAGAGCACTGGACTCGGAGTCAGTTTAAATCCAGCCTCAGACACTTATTGGCTGTGTGACCCTAGGAAAGTTATTTAACCTCTGCATGCCTGTTTCCTTATCTGTAAAATGGGGATAATAACAGCACCTTACCTCCCAGGGTTTTTCTGAAGAAAAAAAATAAAATAATATTGTATTTGTAACACACTTTGCAAACCTTAAAGTGTTGTAGAAATCCTAGCTATCGTCTTCCTCCTCGTTTTTCTGTTCCCTCTTCTATTAATCACAATGGTGGCTCAGTGGATAAGAATTCTGGACTTACACAACTAGAGTTTGAGTGCTGCCTCAGATATTTACTTACTAGTTTTATGACCTTGGGCAAGGCACTTAACCTCTATCAGCCTCAGTTTCTTCATCTGTAAAATGGGGCATGTACCTCAGTGTTGCTGTGAGGACCAAATGAAATAACATATGTAAAGCTATAAAAATGCCAGGTATTATTATTATTAGCTATTTTTCCTTGTACTCCCAGAGTCTGAGCTCAATGCCTGGGAGATGGTAATGCCTGTTCATTGATTTCATCATTTACCATACTTTAGCAGCCCTGTACAGGGCAGATTTAAATGGGGAGACTCTAGAGACAGAGAGATCAGTGGAGAAGGTGTGGCTGAGAATAGAAGTATATAGTCTCTGTTGAGGAGATGATGATTTTGATTAGGATGGTGGTGAGAATGCTAAAGGTAAAGAATTCAGACATACTGACAAGGAAGAACTGTTATAATTTGACAGTGAAATGAATGTGGGAACTGGAAAGAAATAATGCCAAAATTCTGGGTTGAGAGAAAAATAAGATAATGACACTGATAGTGATAGAGAAATGGGCATGGGCAGTTTTTCTAGAGCATGCCATTTAAGTAGAGACATTACATAGAAAGTCAGAAATGTATTGTTAGAGAAAGATAAAAAACTTGTGGCAAGAGATGAAGCACACTTGACGAAGGAACCATGATTCACTGTATTTCCAAAAACAAACAAAAAAAGGGTGTCAGCTTAAATTATTCATTAAAATATTCCAGTTATAGTACTAAAAAAGGACTCTTTTTGCAACACAATGAAAATGTTTTGTTAAACTTAATCACACAAGGCATTAATAAATATTATAATCACCTCTGGAGCAACAAAATTTGCAGTATAACATGGAGTCATCAGAAGACCATTTTCTGCCCTTAGCTGTTTTGCAAAACCAAAATCACAAATTCGAATAGATTCCGGGTTACCAGATTCGTCTACATACAGAATGTTGCTAGGTTTCAGGTCTCTGTGAACCACCTAATTGAAATACAAATCAAAATGAAAATTTAAAGTTTTCATTATTATTTCACAAATAAGCAAAAGTAGGCTTAAGGGAGTGATTAAAAAAAAAAGATAAGTTAATTAAGTGAACAGAGTAGCTAAGCAAGACCATAAGCCACTGAACATTTTAGCCTAGTGTCCGATAAACCCAAGGATATCCACTACTGGGGTAAGAACTCTCTATTTAATAAAACTTGCTGGGAAAAGTGGAAAGTACAATTTGGCAGAAATTAGGTTTAGACCAGAAACTTGAATTATATTCCACAATAAGCTTCAAAATAGATTTATGACCTAAACATAAAAAAGGCTCATCATTTTAAAAAATGTAGAACTGAAGGAGGTAACTATGAGAAGGGTAAGGTTTCTTAACTAAAGGGACAGAGATGATCATTTTAATGGATAAAATGGACAATTCTGATTACATAAAATTGGAAAGCTTTTGAATAAATAATTGTACCTAAAATTAGAAGAGAAATAGTTAACTGGGGAGACAAAATTCTTCACATCAAATATCTCTGATAAATGTCTTATAACCAAAAAATATAGAAAATTGATACAAATATAAGAACAGAAAGTGGTCAATGGATATGAATAGTTTTCAAATGAAGAAATGCAAGCTATTAAAACCATATGATGACATACTCCAAATCACTAATAAGAGAAATGGCAAATTAAAACAAATCTTTTGAGATTTTATTACCTCACACTCAACAGATTAGAAAAGATGACAAATGACAAAAATTTTGGAGGGGATGTGGAAAGAACTTGTTGGTATACCTGTGTACTGGTCCACTTATTCTAAAAAATATAGAATTATACTAGAAAAGTCAGTCTATATATATAACATACCCTTTGACCCAAAGAAATCATTAGCATCTGCCCAAAGAAGGTCAAAAACAAAAGGAAAAATTCTATATACACAAATACTTAAAGCAGCAAAGAACAGGAAGAAAACTAACTGCCTGTTAACTGGGAATGGTAGAACAAATTATGGTGTAATAATGTAAGATAATGTTATATACCATAAGAAAAGATGAAAATGAAGAATTCTGAGAAACTTAAGGAAAGTTTTACAAACTGATCCTGAAAGAGGTAAGCAACACCAAGAGAAAAATTTACATGACCACAATAATGAAAAGGAAAACAATGAAAGAATTCTCTCCTTCTGTGAGTCATTTCTCCAATTTATCCTACATATATATATTGTTGTACATACTTATTTTCATTATGTCTCCTCCATTAGACTGAACCCCTTGAAAGCAGGGACTGTTTTTTTTTCTCCTTTTCTTTGCATCCTCAACACTTAGGACAGTGCCTGGCACATAATAATAATAAACAATAAAGGCTTGTTGACTGACTTCAGAACTCTGATCGATGATTAATATTTTCTGCTCTTTTGCATAGATTGGTAAAGAATAGGTGTGGAATGAGGCATACATTTTCAGAGAGAGTCAAAGTGTTATTTGTTTTGCTTGGATGTACTTATTTTTAAAGTTTTAAAGGCAGGTTTTACTGGGGAGAGTTATTAGGAAGTGATGTTAAAAAAACCCAGAACTGTAAGTAGTGAATAACAAGATGTTCTGAACTTTCATTTGTTTGATACTAATCAAATATTTCTTTCCTGACATATGCAAAATATTTTTCCTCCTCTTTTCTCCTAGTATAAAATGACCTAGAAAAATTGAAAACTTAAGAAGACCAGCATTTCTCCTCTAATTTTGTTCAAATGGATATATATTTATTTCTTGTATGAAAATAACTTTTAAATGCTGTATAAGCAAAGGAATTTCACACTAAACTTTGAGATGAACTTGCTCCAAAATAAAATGGTTGCTATTTTTAAAAATTTATTAAGGATGGCATCAATTTTTTTCCCCTTCTGCATTAGATTGAGAACATGGAAAACAAAATTTAGGATAATCTTGAAAGAATTTCCTACTGCGGGGATGCAGATTGTTATTTCTGCTCTTACTCTAGTATTGAAACAGAAGAAATGTTTTTGCCATCTACTACAGAATACCTGATGTTTCATTCAGTGAGTATTCTATTCCTAAAGGCAAATGATGAATTCTTAGTGTCCCTTGAAATCTAAATGACATTAGAATAAGGAAAAACCCAAATGAGAACAACACTTTTCTGTGATATTGCAGCTATAAATTCAATTTAAAATAGGATTCTGTTCCTTATTATCATTAACTGAGGTTTTTTTGAGCAGCATAAACATCTCTCTCCCCCTCCCTCCATATATTGCTGCCCCCTTTTTATGAACAATCTCTTTGGTCTAATCAACATTATTCTCAAGTGCTTTCAATCAAATTGTAAGCCTGACATCTAGTCAATTCAACCAGCCTCACTACCCTGAAGATTCACTTCTATCAAACAATTTCACTCACAGTTGATGCAGCATCTTCCTGTGAAGCGCTAAATCCATGTTCTAAAAGTGTTCCAAAATTACTACTATCTCCAGAGGCTTTAGATGCCTGGTAAATCTTACAAATGTGGCAGGAGTATACCACTTTCAATACTGGCACAAACCCACTTAACAGTGGCTGGGCCCAAAGGAACACAAATGCTAGATGCAAGAGGAATGTTGCTTTCAAATAGTATTTGGCAGTGAGCATTATAGTCTATTTTTCCCCCCAATATACGTTTGTGTGTACTGAAGGTCGTACATTTCCCTGGTTAAGGCCAGAGAGTAGATTTTACAGTAGGTCAAGATTTGGCTCCTTTGGTCCAATCCCAAGTAGCTATGAATTTCAATGGGTGCATATAGGTTAATTTAAGGGATAGCTTCACCTTTACAATGGATTGACAGTTAGGGGGTATGCTGGGGTCTGGGGGGGGGGCCACAAGAACTATGGCATCAGGTTTCATTTAACAAAAAACATTATGGTTATATATAAGGAGGTTTTGTCTACCCTCTTCTGGGGCACTGTAATGTAGGCTAGGGTTTCAAAACAGCAATGATGATTCAACAGGAGTTTGCTTTTTGCTTTCAGATCAATGATATATACATGAAGAAGACCCGAACAATTATGTGAATAGGAGTTAGAACTAGGTATTAGAGACATACATAAAATGTTTAAAGCACTTACCCCTTGTGCGTGAAGATATTCTACAGTTTTGGTTATTGTGAACAGGACAGCACTAGCTTCTCGTTCAGAGAAAAATTTCTGTCTAAGAATTTTATCCAACAGTTCACCTCCTTTCATAAGTTCTGTTACTACATAGACATATTTTCCATCATCATAGACCTACAAAATACAAGTATCGCAATGTGAATGATTCTTTGAAGCTTTGTGTCCAAAAATAAACCTTTAAAGCATTATACTTATTTTAGATTCATCATCACAGCCCACAGAGAAAAAGAAATCTACAAATACAGGGCATGGATCACTCTACTTGTGCTATTATCTGATCTCTTCTAACTCATCTCAGACCTCGGTCTAGCAGTCAATTCCCTCCCCTCTCTGATGAGCTTTCTATGTCTCCCCCTCCAACAGCTCATACCCATTTTCATATAAAAATAGGAGTTAAAAATAGCATCTCAAAAAAATGAAAGAAAATCTACTTTTAATGATCAAAGCATATCTGCAAAAATACTCTCTATTTTCTTAGGTTATTTCTACATCTACACATGTATGTATTTTATATGGTTAGATATAAGAGAAATGATCATTAAATAACAATTATTGTGGAGATCTGTGACTTTTCCCAAAAATTTATCCCACCTTTTATCTAGGTTGAGTTGTTGCCCCACCCAACTAGAAAAATCTTACGAAGAATTTAATCGAATGTGAATTCTGGCCCATTGGGTTCTACTCAGGTAGGTTGGGTGGGGGGGCAAGGGAGGGGGGTGAAGGTAGATCTTTTGTTTAGATGGCCCAAGGCAGAGGGTGACTTGGAAGTAAATGACATAATCAAAGTCCCACCCCTAGCCTCTCAATGGAATAGGTCCACTTGTCATTATGATATTCATTCCTCTCATTTATTGTTAACCAATCAGAGTTGATTGCCACCTTCAGGAACACCACTTTTCCAAGGGCTTATATAAGCACTGAGTGGGTTCTGTGAGAGATCTGACATTCAAGAGCATCTCTGATCCCTTTTATTAATTATTGCTAGCATGATTAATAAAATGATAAATTAACCAAAAACTATGTCTAACTTTTCATATGTTACAGATTAAAACAGGGATGCTTTTTATTATTTACTTCTGGTGTATAGTATATAACACACTCTGAATGTTCAATAAATGATAAAGGCCTAAATCTTTGTGAAATCTGCCAAATTTTCCCTGACCTCTGATCTTCCCCCTTTCCTGATGAGGTACATTACTATTTCTATTGTCTCAATCATAAGCAGAAGCATATTTGGAAAACTAACTAGACAAAGGTACAGAAATTAAGGCTGAAACTTCTTAGAATTTAGGACTGAGGCAGTTAATTGTTTACTCTTCACTCTCTTCCAAGATTAAGTCCCATTAATGCTACCTTCACAATAACTCCTGAATCCATCCTCTCTTAACTCATCCTGACACCAAATCTCATTCAGCCCCTTAGCAATTCCTGCCTGGACTACTTTAATAGCTTCCTACCTGGCAAGCCAGAGCCCAGCATTTCCCTTCTCTAGTTCACCGAAAAACATTAAATGCTTACTGCCTTATGATCAAATACTGACCTGTTATCCTGGATCATTTAAAACCCTCTGTGATCTGACTCCATCTTATATTTCTAGCCTTTATTTCTTTTTCTTTCTTGTTATTCTGAACTTAATAAACCCTAAAAACCCTAAACATATCCATATACAAAGAACCATAAAACAGGACTGATCACATATGAAGCTGCAAATTTCTACTACATAGCTTGTTTAAAAAAAAAGTGCATATGTATATACATACAACATATATATGTAAGTATATACAACACCAATCTAACATGACAGTTTAAAGCTGTCCTGCTTTTCTGTGTCTCCCTTTGAACTTCTTCCTGTTCTATTCATATTTAAAAGTCTCATGCATGTTCTTTTATTTGGCACCATGGCCCCTTATCTCTCCCCTCATCAATTTTCCTACCCCCTCCATTATTAATTATTCCCTGATTTTGTCCTGCCATCATCTGCCTGAATGCATCTACTCAGGCTGTCTAGAATGCTGTCCCTCCTCTCTACTCTTCTCTTCAGAAACACATTCTGAATTGAGCGAACCAGGAAACAAATCAGCTCAAGTGCTGTTAGCTCCTCTTGTGAAACTTCCCCAGCATACTTAAAGTGTCCTTGCCTTTGCTGTTAACACACTACCCCTGGTATAAGGACATTTAATCAGTCTATGATCAATGTTTACACAAAGCTTTGAACATACATGCCTAATAAATGTGTGCTGAATTGGTCTCTCCCTTTTTTGAAAGGAAAGGTTTGAACAACTTTCATTATATGTCACTTGAGACTCCTGCTATCTGAGAGACAGAAGCAGGTCCATCCCAGACCAGTTCTGATCTACCAGACCCCTCCTATATTGGGCTCATTCTCCTTGGCACTCTTTTCTGTCCGCTGTTGATGGCAAGCAGCAGCAATCTACTCTACTTGATTTTTTGAAAACTCCTGTAATTGCAGATATGGAACCACATACAGAATATAAAATTCCTCATTCTGATCAGAGCTACTCCAGTCTGAATGGGTGGAGTCAGAGGAAAAAATGGCAATAATAAACTTCTGCCACAAAAAAGTGAGTAAAGACATCTAAATTCTTGACTTACAATCTGTTTTATGGACAGGTAGTCTCTGAAATTACCTAAAACTCTTAGAACATAAGAATTGGAAGGGGCCTTCAGTAGCCATCTAGTGCAACTCAAATGCGAACAACAATCCTCTGTACAACCACCTTAACAAGTGGCCATTTGGCCTTTGATTTGAGATTCCTCTTCACATATTCTGGCCATACTGCCCTACCTGCTCTTTCCTGTCAGTAGCATTCTACCTCCTGCTTCTGGGCTGGAGATGTCCCATGTGCATGAGGTTCTCCTGCATCACTGTTGCTTTGTTTAGAACCCCTCAAATTTCTTCAAAGGACAACTCAGACACCGCTTTCTACAGGATACCTTGCCTAGCCTCTTGGGTGCTGGTTTTCTCCTCTCTCAACTAAAATTAGTTTGAATACATTTATCTGTGTATATGCTGTTTTCCTGCAACAGAAGGTAAACCCCTTGAAAGCACACTTTCGTTTTTCTATTTGTCACCAGTTTCTGGCAAATAAGAAGTGATCAGTACATGTTTGCTGAACTGAATCTTGAGCCTTTAACAAAACTTAGCTGCCTTCCTCTGGACACTGTCCAGCTTGTCAATGTCCTTGTCCTTCCTAAAATGTGTCCTCCACAACTGAAAATGTACCAGATGTGGTCTGACTAGGACAGAGGACAGCAGGATTATTACCTTCTTCATTCTGCACATGATGCCCTTTTTAATGAAGTCTTAAGATGGTATTATCTTTTCTGGCTATTAAAGCATGATGCTGAATAATGCTGAGGCACTAATGCTGAATTTACTAAAAAGCCCATTTTTTTTTTTTTGCTTTTAGGCAATTGGGGGTAAGTGACTTGCCCAGGGTCACACAGCTATTAAGTGTCAAGTGTTTGGTGTGAGGCCGGATTTGAACTCAGGTCCTCCTGACGTCAGGGCCGGTGCTCTATCCGCTGTGCCACCTAGTTGCCCCCCAAATCCAGATCTTTTTAACAGGAATTATCTAGCCATTTTCCTTTATCTTGAATTTGTAAAGATGATTTTTAACCCAAGTATAAGATTTTATGTTTAACCCTATTAAATTTCAGCTTATTAGATTTAGAACAAGTTGTGAAGATCTTCTGCCTTACTCATCCAAAGCATTTAACAATACTGCCAAATTTGCTGTCATGTGAAAATCTGACAAGCATGTCATTTAAGACTTTAAGTCACTGATAAAAACAGAGACAATCACAGATCTCAAAGGCATGGCACTACAGACATTTGTCTACGTTGAAATCAAATCACTGACTACTCTTAGTTTGGTTATTCAGTTAGTACTTAAATGCACTTAAGAATAGTATCATTAAGCTTGTAATATATGTTTTGGTCCAGACTCATGATTTCATTGATGTGGCTCCCAGTGTGGAAACTCCTTTTACTAATGCAAATTAGCAACTGATTTATTGCTAGTCTTAAGTCAGCTGCCAGATGACATGAGAGGGTAACTGCCCACGATCACATAGCTAGCTAACTAGCATGTTCCTAGAAGCAGGACTTGCATCCAGGTCTTCCTGACTCAAAAGTTGTCCCTCTAGCAAGTAGGCGTTGTTACTAATAAAATTCTACAATTTTGTAAGAAATTTAAGTCAAGTTTACTGGCTTATACCATAGTTTACAGACAATCTACTCTCATTTTTAAAATCTGAGACGTATTTCACAGAACCTTTTGAGAACCAGGCACTCTCTGGTTTTCCTTGTCTTTCCAAGATAATGGAAATAAATCCACTGGTTCTTTTAGTACACTGGACCTCGTGACTTGGACTCATTAAGTCTTACCAATTTACCTTAATTTTCAATTCCCAATTAGCCAAATAATCCCAAATTATTTTTATTCTGTCCTTTTAGTTCAAAAAGCATTATTCTTGGCAGAGAAAACATAAAAAAGAGTTGAACAGATCTGCCTTCTTTCCATCATTAGTTATTATGATCTCATCTGTCCTGTAGAGTGAAAACTCTTTCTTCTCTGACCCACCTTTTAAAAATGATATAGCTAATAAATCCCTTTGGGTTGTCCTAAGTTAATTTAACTCAACAACCATTTATTCATCACCTACTATCCACCAGACTAGGTGCTTGGGATACAAAAGAAAGTGGTCCTGCCCTCAAAGAGTTTACAAGTAAGTATACAAAATAAATGCAAAGTAATTTCAAGGGTCAGGAGCAAAGGCTTCTAAGAGGTAGAGGTAAGGATTCTAGGCATAAGATTGTTGTTTGTCCTTCATTTTTGAAGAGGACCATGACTTCTGGAATGTGATGCCATGACATGCAGGTGAACTGGATTTAAGTGAGGGTGGGCTGTGTAAAGTCACCAGCCTCACTCTCTCCTCCAGAGCCATCTGGATTCAGTGGCAAGATATAGATCAAGACAACTGGAGACGGCCCTGGACGCAGTGGGAGACCTTGGCCTTTTTGAGCTATAGTCTCTCCTAGGTTTCAGTTTGACTGAGGTAATGCCCATTCAGTGATTAAGGCCAGACAAAAGAATGGGGCAAAAAATGGGAGAGGAAACAGAGGAGGGAGGGAGGGAAAAGAGGAAGGAAGGAGAAAAGGGAAGGAGCTGTGTTGCCCAACTGGAACTGGACAGTTGGGTCCCCAGTGGGGCAAATACTACTATTCACAGATTGTTGTTTGTCTTTGGCTCTCTAAGAAGACCATGATATCAGGAAGTTACGTAATGCCATGATTTGCAACTGAATTATTAGAACAGCTTATGCAAAGGTATAGAGGCAGAAGATACAATGTAACATATGGAGAACAGAAAGTAGGACAGCTTGAAAGAGAGTAACTTAAGCAGCTGCTATAGCACTATACTAAATAATCTGGGAAAAAATTTGCAAATGTTATTAAGTTAAATCAAGCAATTTATCTTAAAAGGATCAACTCACATCTTTAAGAGTAATAATATTTGGATGCTGTCCATAACGAAGGAGGATTTCAATTTCTTCTGTTGGGTCTCTCTTGCTTTTATCAATAATCTAAAAAGGAAACAGTATTTATATGAATAACCAAGAGATTCCAAAATGATTAACACTTTAGGATTTATCTTGTATGAATACTGTAAACGTGAGCCTTTGACAACATATTTTACTAGTGCAAGACTAAAATTATTAAGGATTTTTCTCTATTTTCTAGCATTTGCCAGCTCTGCGACCATACTAACTGGAATATTTTGCTTTTTTCTTTGTGTCTAGACTTTGTCAAAGATTTTTTTTAAAGTTGCCAAATAGAAAAAAAATGTCAGAAGTAGCTTAACTGCTGTCTAGCCTAATTTTATTATCATTACTGGGTTTGGAATTGGAACATGCAATAATTTTAGAATGACAGAAGAGTTCCATAAGCCATTTTCTCAAAATTTGAGCTATCATAGTTAATTTCCAAGTACTTATTTTCTGTGATATAGTGGTAGATTATCCAAGTTCCTTCCCTTTTTGCTTTTTTGTCCACTATTTGGCAATTTATTTGTCATTTATATGATGGTGTTCATGGAAAGAAAAAAATTAAATCAATTCTTCAGTTTTTCTTTTTCACAGTAGTTCTTTTAATATATTTGGCCAGGTGAGTGATGAAAACTGCTGCTTATAGTGGAACTATTATATGATCTATGAATTTCACTTATATTTGCTATTAAATAAGTAAATAAGTAATCTGTGGACTTGGCTATATTGAGCCAGCTCCACATGAACACTGGCAACTCTGTTCACTGGAATCTTTACTACCTTAAAGTGATAATTTTTACTTAGCTAAAACTAAGGTTAACCAAAGAAAGCCCTATTAAAATCCAAATGGAATTGTTCAACTCTTAAAAATCTGTGTTTCAGATGCCTGACTATTTTCCTTAATGCTTTACTATGTTTCAGAAATATATTTAAACAGTATTTGGAAAAAAAAAGACTTTTCTGATAATTTAACATGATTTTCAAATTAAACTTTTCTATTTGCTTTGTTCAAGTGCTTTCCTTTTTTTCCCCTTTGTGATCCTTATATTTTAAGTGTAAAATAGTTCATTAATTAAGAATTCAGAATAAAGGCAGAACATGTATAAACTTTAGCCACATAAAAAAAAAGCCAACTACCATGTAATTTCCCACATAAACACATTGTTTAGCTGCAGTGGAATTCTGTATTTTAAAACTATGGAAGTTAAATATATATCAGAGGTGTCTTTATTGTTCTTTGAATGTTTATACAACTGCCACAGGAATTTAAAAATAGATGACCAGTTGATTACTTGATTATGCTGATTAGACAGATGGCCAATGGCTCTGTGGAAACCAGAAATTATCTAAGGTACACCTCTACAGAACTTCTACAGATATGAATTCAGATAGAGCCTGAGGTGGGACTACTACCATCCCAAACCTGCTATCTATTTAAAGTCACATGCCACCTCCCAACAACCCAAGGAGGAATTAAAATTTTTTGACGTCTATCTACAATTCCTAAAAAGGTTTTGACTGTTTCAGTCATTTCTGAGTCAGCCACTTTGGCTGGGTACATCCTAGTTGTCCCAGCTTGAGTCTTATTCCTCTTATTTACATAAGACACAAATTTTACATAAGACACAAATTTCAGTCAGAGTAACAGGACAGATGGGAAATTAAAATGCATTATTACCAAGGCTTACCAATCCAACATAAGTATGCTACAAAGTACATAATTAAATAAATATAAAATATTATTACTAATATCTCCTCCAGAAATAAATAACTGGATCACCAATGTGGAGCTGGAAGAGACTTTGGAGGCCATCTAGTTTATAGACAGGGGATAGGGACAATAATTGATAAAGGTAATGTCTAACTGAGAAAGTTCTCCCTGCCAAGGTATGGTATGTACTTTGAACCTTAAGAGTCTCAGAGAACTGCCTAGGGCACTAAGAGGTTAAACAACTTACTGGAGTTACACAACCTATATATGCCAGAGGCAGGACCTGAATCCCTATGTCTTCCTGGCTTTAAAGTCAGCTCTCTCACATTATGTATGCTGCCTCTCTGGAGTATATAATATCTAAATACAAATGTGGTGAAAATCAAGACCATCTCTAGTCATTCAAGAATGAGGCTTTGCTCATCAAAATCTCTAAAATGTAAGTTCAGTCAAAGGCCTTAAATCTTTAATAACCATTTCCAACTAAATTGCTCCAGATGGAGAGTCAAAGCCTGCTGACTGCTGAGGGAAAAAGGCAGTAAGTTTGACTATAGCTTCATATTTACTGACTTCAAGCTAAAGGTTCAAACTTCAGAAGTATATAAACTTCCCTTTCTATGTCTTAGAAATACTAAGCAAGTTTCAGTGGTCATGGGGTTAAAATTCTCCATGACAACAGGTTAATACAGATTTTAATAGTCATTAGATATGCAATTTGGTCTTAACCTGCTACAACAAATGTAAGACAGCCTTTTCCAAGGAGGATTATGGTTTTTAATTACTACTGAACTACATGGGTGAACTGTAAAAATGACATTTTAAATAAACTACAAATACATACCTTAACTGCATATTCCATATTTGTGACTTTATGTATACATCTCTTGCAAATAGAGTAAGAGCCAACTCCAATATCTTCTTTACTTCATATCCATCAGTAAACTGAATACTGTTCCTGTGCAACTGCTACCAAAATAACATTATCAATTGATGAATGCTTCAACAAATATTATGATTCATTTTACAAGTAGGAAACGTATGCTACCTAGAAGCCTCAATACTTCAAGTCAATGAATTTCAACAAACAATCCCTTTGTAAATGCACACTATAAATGCATCCAGTAAAATATATAGCTACAGTACAAATGAAGCTACTAGGCCAAAGCTCAGCTGAGGATGGGTCTGGTGACAAAAGGGATACATTTTAAAAAGGGAATTAAAAGACAAAAGTGGAAAAAATGATATAAATTAATCAACAAGAAACAAAAAGTCTGTCTTCCCCAAATGAGGGTTAATTTACAGATTGCTACCATCAGTAAGCAAAATATTTTACTTTTTTTTTAAAAGCAATTCCAAATTAGGCTAACAAATAAGAGCAAGCTAGAAGTTAGGAGTCTGGGACTTGTATAATCTCTTCCAATTATCAACTGCATGAATAAAAGGTTATGGGAAGCTCTTGCTTCTTAGCTATGTGGGATGTGCATTATCTTCTAAGCATTAAAATCCTTCATAACCTGGGCCCAATTTATCTTTAGACTCATTATATCTCTTCTCATGTACTTTACACTACTGTCAAACTTGTCTTCTCTTGGTTCCTCACACACAGAACTTTATCTTCCACCTCTCTGTCTCCATGCTTTTGCAATTGCTCTTCACACGTCATGAATGTACTTCTTCTCCAGACTTCTGCCTCACAGAGTTCGTCACTTCCTTCAAGACCCAGCTCAAGTACAACTTTATACATGAAGCCTTTTCTGATTTGCCTCAACTGCTAGTGCTCTTTCTCTCTCTTTTCCCTAACTATATCGCAATGATTTTGTATTCGTTACAAATATCTATCCATCTATCTACACTTATATATGTATGTGTTGTATATCCTCTGATAGAATGTAAGCTTCCTTTTGAACTGACAAACAAGTTTGAAAATTGCACCCTTTGTGTAATATCATTTACTGGGGGCTTTGAGACTTCAATGTAAAGCTGCTGTAGTACAAGCAAACTGACTTAACGACAGAATATCTTTAAACACTGAAAATCAAAATTTTCTAGGATGAAGATTATGCAAATTTATAAAAACCAATATTAAAAATTAATCTTGTTGCATACCCATAGGTATTGTGCATTAAACAGCTATCTATCCTTTTTATCCACAGCCTAATGTCTGGGGGGAAAGGATCTACCTACAGATCAAATATAGGTAAAAAACAATTTCAAAAATAAAAAAAACACAGATCAAGGTATGATTGCTGGGATGGTTTATGGACTTTAGTAACAGTTTTTGAAAACTACAAAACTTTAATTCAGATTCCAAAAATCAAGTAAAAAAACCTGTAAAAAGTAAACAGTAGGCACTCTTTAAATAAGCACTGAGTTGGATTTTAAGCTGTAAAAGCAAGTATCAATTTACACAAAATACATCTGTATTTAAAAAAAAATTAATGACAACTTCATTTAGCATGACAATCTAAATGAATTACTAAAATTCTCATTTTAAAAAGCATTTCAGCTATATCTGAGGCTTTTGGCTTTAAACAATTCATAGATACTCATTTGTTTAGAATTAATTTCCACAATGAAATTAACCAAAATACTTGAGAATGTCAATTTAAAAGTAACAATTCTACCTATGTGCCCAATTAAGGATATTTCTATTGAAAACTGAATAAATCTTTCTGTCTGTGCAAGTAAATAATATAGTAGAAACCATTAAATATTAAGAAAAGGACTTTTTATACATATCCTTCTGCATTTACTCATCTATATTATATGTAAGTACTATTAAGTTTTATTTATGCTGAATGCTGAGGATACACCAATTAACACTTAGAAACAGAGATTTAGACTTAGAAGGGGCTTTACTGATTTTCCAGTCTAACTCCATTATTTTACGTATGAGAAAATTAGGGTCAGAGAAGTTAAGTGACTTGTCCCAGGTTATGCAGGAACAGCAGGTGGCAGAGTTAAGATTTGAAACCAAGTTCTCTCATTCTAAAACTAGTGCTCTTCCTTCTAACTATGCTATTTTCTCATGAAAGCACTAAATCACTGAAAACAAATAATTATTATAACTAGATGATATTTAAAGAAAACTTTAACATAATCTATACTAAGTAACTAACAGTAGACAACTTTTAAATATGATTAGTTGTGAAGCTAAGATAAGTACTTACTGTTTTAAAATCTGAAAAAGGAATATAGACAAGTCTTCTAGATTAAGGGACTTTTGGGCACATGTATCAGCCTGTATCTAGAGACACTTACCCAACTCTTACCAGTATAGCTTAAAAAAAAAAAACAAAACAAACAAACAAAAAAAAAAAAGCCTGTGTTTCATGTAAAATTACAAATTCACGCTGAACTGGCATGCCAATCCCTAGATGCCATGCCCTCTTTTACATGAATATAAGCTTTTAAATTTAAAAATTTCCCCCATACGTAAATCACATGCTGATTGAAAATACTTCCAATGATGAAAACCCTTTTGTCTTAAAAAACTTGCCTTGAAAGAAGCACTCTGGAATGAGATTAAATATAATATATAGCGCAAAGCTATTAGGTCTAAAAGTCAGTGGGTGAATTTAAGGTAAAACTCTATGACAAAAACAGCACTAATTCTGTGAGTAATTTACAATAATATGCAAACAAAAAAGCACAGCTAAAATTCAATAATAACTTCATGGAATATATACACTGTTTTTACTGTGAAAAATGTTTTAAGTTAATACTAAATATCATATTCCTAGGCTATAGAACCTGCAGATTAAACAGAATTATATGTCCAATGTTTTGTAGTGAATTACCAAATGGAAAGAGTTGCTTCAAACCCCATAGGGAAAGAGATGTATTAAACACTTATACACAAACTGTTGCTTTGTTTGGGTGGAGTGGCTAAGGTAAGTAGGATTAAGTAAAGTTGATTGGTACTAAATGTACTAAAACGATAAAAGATGAGCCCCTCAAGTCAGAAGGTATCCAACAAGCTACTGAGGAAGAGTGCTGAACAACTACAAGTAGTTCAGTGAAGTTACTAGCCAAAAGGAAGCTCAGCTAAGGATGTGTCCGGTGACAAAAGGAAAGTCTGATACTGTAAAGATCAATATTGCATAGGAACCTGAAATGTAAGATGTGGTCAAACAGGAGAGGGAAAGATTAAATATCGACATCTTAGGTGGCAGTGAACTTAAACGGATGGAGATGGTTGAATTTAATTCAGGTGATCACTACATATACTACTGTGGGAAAGAATCCTGTAGAAGAAATTGGAGTAGGGGCAGCTAGGTGGCATAGTAGACAGAGCACTGGCCCTGGAGTCAGGAGGACCTGAGTTCAAATGTGACCTCAGACACAACACTTACTAGCTGTGTGACTCTGGGCAAGTCACTTAACCCCAACTGCCTCACCAATAAAAAGAGAGAGAGAGAGAGAGAGAGAGAGAGAGAGAGAGAGAGAGAGAGAGAGAGAGAGAGAGAGAGAGAGAGAAGAGAGAGAAAGAAGAAAAGAAGAAGAAATAGAGTAGCCCTCATAGTCAATAAAGGGGTGAGAAAAGTAGTAGTGGGGCATAAACTCAAAAATGACAGAATAATACATGTTTGAATCCAAGGCAAACCGTTCAGCATCACAGTTATACAACGCTATGCTCTAACTACTGATGCTGAAGAGGCCGAATTTAATCAGTTCTATAAAGAGCTTCAACATCTTCTAGAAATCACACTCCCCAAAAGATGTCACATTCACCACAGGGCACTGGAATGCTAAAGTAGGAAATCAGAAAATAACTGGAATAACAGGTAAGTTTGGCCTTGGAGTACAAAATGAAGCAGGGCAGAGAGTAATAGAGTTTTGCTAAGATAACTTGTGGGTCACAGCAAACATTCTTTCTTAACAACCTAAAAGGTGACTCTTCACATGGACATCACTAGATGGTCAATAAAGAAATCAGACTGACTATATACTTTCCAGCCAAAGGTGCAGAATTTCTGTAGAGTCAATTAAAACTACACCTGGAGCTGATTGTGGCTCAGATCATGAACTTCTTTACTGCAAAATTCAGACTTAAATTGAAGAAAGTACAGAAAACCATCAGACCATATAGGTATGATCTAAATAGCATCCCTTATGAAGTGAAAGTAACAAATAGAATTAAGGGATTATAATCCAGTAGATAGATTGCCTGAAAAACTATGGACATAGGTTTGCAATATTGTACAGGAGGCAGCAACAAGAAACATTCCAAAGAAAAAGAAGAGCAAGAAAGCAAAATGGCTGTCTGATGAGGCTTTATAAGTAGCTGAGGAAAGAAGGAAAGTGAAAGGTAAAGGAGAAAGAGAAAGCTATATCCAAATGAATGCAGTATTCCAGAGAATATTAAGGAGAGATAATGTTTTCTCAAATGAGCAATGCAAAGAAATAGAAGAAAACAACAGAATGGGAAAAATATTTCTTCAAGAAAATTAGAGATATCAAGGGAACACTTCATGCTAAAATGGGCACAAAAATGGTAGGGACCTAACAGAAATGGATGAGATTAAGAGGTGGCAAGAATACACAAAAGAGCTATACAAAAAAGATCTTAAGTTCACCAATATGGGTGTGGTTAATGATCTAGAACCAGACATCCCAAAGAATAAAGTCAAGTGGGCTTTAGGAGCATTGCTAACAATAAGGCTAATGAAGGTGACAGAATTCCCAACTGAGCTACTTAAAATTCTGATAGATGATGTTAAATGCTTCACTCAATATGCCTTCAAATTCAACGGTGGCTACTGGATTGGAAAAGATCAGTTTATAACCCAATCCTTAAGAAGGGCAATGCACACATCAGCAAGGTGATGTTTAAGATTGTACAAACTAGGCTTCAGCAATTTGTGAACTGAGAATTACCAGAAGAGCAGGCTTGTTTTTGAAGAGGCAGAGGAACTAGAGACCAAATGCCAACATTCCCTGGATTATGAAGAAAGCAAGGGAGTTCCAGAAAAACATCTACTTCTGCTTCACTGACTACACTAAAAAGCCTTTGACTGTGTGGAACATAACAAAATTTGGCAAGTCCTCAAAAATATGGGAGTATCATATCATCTTACCTTTCTCCTGAGGAACTTGCACAAGGGCCAAGAAACAAGAATTAGAAACAAACATGGAACAACTGATTGGTTTAAGATTGGAAAAGGAGTTTGACAAGGTTGTATATTGTCATTTTATTTATTTAAGTTATATGCAGAGTACATCATGCAAAATTCCAGACTGGATGAAACAAAAGCCAGAATTAAGGTTGCTAGGAGAAATATCAACAATCTCAGATATGCAGATGACACCAGTATGACAGGAGAAAGTGAAGAGGAATTAAGAAGCCTCTTGATGAGGGTGAAAGAGGAGAGTGTAAAAGCTGGCTTGAAGCCTGACATTAAAAACACTAAGATCTTGGCAAACAGTCCCCTTACTTCCTGGCAAATAGAGGGAGAAGAAATGGAAGCAGTGTCAGATTTTATATTCTTAGGCTCAAAAATCATTGCAGATAGTAACTGTAGACATGAAATTAAAAGATGCTTGCTCCTTAGAAGGAAAGCTACATGGGACAGCTAGGTGGCGCAGTGGATAGAGCTCCCGCCTTTGGAGTTAAGAGGACCTGAGTTCAAATGTGACCTCAGACACTTGACACTTACTAGCTGTGTGACCCTGGCAAGTCACTTAACCCCAATTGCCTCACCAAAAAAAAAAAGTTATAGCAAATCTAGACAGCATACTAAAAAGCAGATATATCATCATGCCAACAAAGGCCCACATAGTCAAAGTTATGGTTTTTCCAATAGCAATGTATGGTTGTGAAAACTGGACTACAAGCAAAGCTGAGTGCTGCAGAATTAACACTTTCGAATTGTGGTGCTGGAGTAGACTTCTGAGAGTTCTCTGGACAGCAAGGACATACTTAAAGAAATTAATTCAGGCTATTCACTGGAAATCCAAATATCAAAGCTGAAGCTTAAAAATTCTGGCCACATAATGAGAAGATGGGATTTACTGAAAAAGATCGTTATATTGGGAAAGACTGAAGGCAAAAGAGGATGGCAGTGGATGAGATGGACAGTGTCAAGGAAACAAGGAACACAAACTTCGATAAATTTCAAAAGAGAATGGAGGATAGAAAAGCCTGCTGTCTTACAGTCCATGGGGTCATGAAAAGTCAGACACGAAACAACAACAACAATGACAACAACAGCATTTGTGGTCAAATTGAAACTCAGAAATCCTTATCTCATCTCTGATACAAACAACCCTTAGTGAATAAACATTTTTTTTAGCACCTACTATGCGCCAGGCATAGAGCTGGGGGTACAATGAAAGGCAAAACAATTCCTATTCTCAAGGAGCTTATAACCAACCTCTTTAATCCAGTGGCTGTTAAAAGGACCTGAGAAATGTTTTACAGAAATATTTCTTTTGAACAGAATTTGTTATAATCATTTTCTGGGTAAAACTTATTATAAAGAGATTTTATAGGAGTACAATGGAGTTTCTTGTTATTGTTACTGCTGGGAAGGGCCAGACTAACATTTTAGGATAGTAATGTTGTAGAAAGCTTTTATTTATATAGTTATAATAATAACAATAATACTAGCTAAATTTTATATAGTGATTTGAGGTGCTTTGCAAACCTCAAATCACCATATAAAATTTAGCTAGTATTCTCATGATAAGTCTGTGGTGCATTTTTTGTTGTTTAGTCACTTCAGTCATGTTTGATTCTTTGTGACCCCTTTGAGGTTTTCTTGGCAAGGATATTGGAGTGGCTTGTCATTTCCTTCTCCAGCTCATTTTGCAGATAAGGAATGAGGTAAATAGGGTTAAGTGACCTCCCCAGGGTCACACATCATTATTCCAGTCACCCAGACGCTCTTCTCAACTTCTCTGTTATGACTTGCCCAGGGCCACACAGCTAATAAATGTATGAGACAGGACTTTGGGTCTTCCTGATTTTAACTCCAGCGCTAGCAACCAATATGCCATGCCATCTCTAGTTATATTTTAAGACTACTAAACTGATGAGCATAAGATTTGAATCTACGTAACAAATTGGGTTATATCAGGATTCTACTACATTTACTTCTAACAACTCTTAAATTTGTGGCTAATACTAGCGTAATACCTTGCATAGGTGCTCAAATATTTATTAAAAGCATTTATAAATATTTTTAAAATTCTTTAGGGAAAATGCTGTCTATAAATAGCTAGTTTATTATTTTAAATTTCTGTGTTCAAACAACTGCCTTAGATAGATTAACACTAACAAATGACAGCATTACTTCAAAGTCCGAAGGCTAAATACTGCATTATATTGCATTTACTTTAAAGAACTGATCCTAAATCTTAAATCATTATAAAATTCATGCTGAACTTCACATGAAAACATTAAAATGAAATATTGTTTAATATTAGCAACAGATGAAGTTCAATATGAGGAGAAAAAAAAGATATAATAAAACTCAATTCTTTGAGCATCATTCCTTCTACGAGGTCAAATTTTTAATTCATTAGGCCAGTTTCCTACATGTTTTTTCCCCCCAAATAAAGCTACCCCTTGTTTTTTGTATCCTTCAGCATTTCCACTTTTCCAATGCATAAGAGGACAGAAAAATAATAAGTATAGGTATTGCTTTTAAGTGTATAGCATTGGGGGTGGGGAGTCTACATGGTTCAGGCTAACTCATTCCCCTTAAGGGAATGGGTTTAAGTGAACTTGACAACAATCTAGTATATTTCATATTACTTACTTTTGGTTTCTGTATCACTTACAAAGAGCAAAGGGACCAGGGGAATTCAGCTAACCAGGGTTTTCTTGGTGAGCCAATGGTAGAAAAAGTATAAGTTAATCCAGTCCTAAAAAAACCCTTGGAAAGATGGTAGAGGTAATGCTTGCTGCAATTCTCAAAAAATCCCACTCTGCAATCAAGTATGTGTTTCACATTTTGGTTAGTGTAGATTCCTGCAGGTCTCTCCTATGTTAAATGAAGTATTTCCTGGATGATGCCAAATTTTTGTACTATTGAAAAAAATCTAATTTTAAGTAGCTAATCTTTATTATGAAAGAGAAGATAAAACCTAGTTTTTATTATTTGTATAATAAATTTTATTTTATCCAAGAGTGAATTTGTTACTTAGAAATGCACTTACCTGGACAATTGAATGTACCCCCACTGTCTGCATTGCTTGGCTTTCATCATCTGATGTAATAGCTACAAAACTGAATCCTCGAAAAAGCTGATGTGCATTAGCACTAGGTGGAATGCCAGGTGAATCTGAGAAGGATGAGAAAATGATTACTAGGAATATTCTTTTAAAAAATTTAAAATTAAGGAAGAACTATCCTGGGCTTATAATGTTCTATAACTGGAACAGGCTTATATAAAATGTTACATGAGAACCATCAAAATCTCAACTGTTGGTTTGGGTCACATTGTTACATAAATATGCCCCAACCCTCTCCTCCTCCCTATCAACCCATACTCACAAATATATAATTTGATAGTTTAAGAGCTCACGTATCTTACCAAGATGAGAAAGCTTTGAATATGGGTCCAGTGGTAGACTCCTGTCTTAGGACTAGAATAGCTAAATTTGGAGATTACTGAGGTTGGGTAGCAGGATGATTAATGTTTTGGCCATGGCCAATATCAAGACAATCAGCAGAGATGGACAGGATCTGCACCAGGGAAAGGACTTCCCACACTGATAACATCAGGGATTCATAAAAGTATATTCACCAAATATTTCAATCAATCAGTCACATTTATTAAGTACCTACTATATGCCAGGCACTTCGTTAAATTCTAGGGATACAAAGAAGTAAAAGACAGTCCTTGACCTTAAGGAGCTTACAATCTAATGGATGAGACAATATATAAACAGATATGTAATTAGCAACATATAGAATAAACAGGAAATTACTAAAAGTAGGAAGGCACTGGAATTAAAGGGGTTAGAGAAAGCTTCCTGTAGAAGGTAGGATTTTAGTTGGGACTTAAAACTGGAAAGATCAGTGCCCACTGTGATAGGTGAACCAGGTACCAAGACAAAAAGTAAAATAATCCTTATTCTCTAAATATTATTCTCTAAAAAGCTTACAAATTCTTTCAGGGGAAACAATATGTACAATATAAATATACTTATACAGAATAAATACAAGGTATTAGAGAGTAAGAATACTAGCAGTTGGGGAGACCAGGAAAGGCTTAGTGTACAAGATGGTGTTTGAGGTACATCTTGAAGGATTTTATGAGGCACAGGTGAGGAAGAAGTATATTCCAGGCAGAAAGGGCATAGGCATGGAAACAGGAGTATATGTGCGAAGAATAGAGATAAGGCATGTGTGAATATCTACCAGCGTTTCCCTCCAACATGAGTCAAGCCCCCTCTTCTCCTCCCTCCTGTGACAGAGAACAGTTTGCCCTAAAAGGATACAAATTGACTAAAGAATCAGATTGGCTCCTATTTCACTAAAACAGTTTTGTGGTTACCTAAGGGTATAAAAAGGCCCAAACAAATAAAGTCAGGGCTCCTCCCACTTGGTGGATTTCTAGAGATCATATGAGTCAACATGTCCTTCACGATATCCTGCCCTGATGACTAGATGTTTTTCCATATGAAGAAGGGTCCAGGGAAGCTTAATGTCAGTGTATCCTAACTGCATTATCTTGGTTGTGTTAGGTCAAAGTGAATTCCCTTTTTATTAACTCAATGACTTGATAATGCACCAATCTGTTTAAACATTGAACATGAAATAAGAGAATGCTGGTGTTAGAGCTGTTTCCAACAGTACGTATGACTGGATTGTAGAGTGTAGGAAGGGCAGTGATGAATAATGAGGTTGGAAAGATAGGCTGGGGCCAGGTTGTGAAAGGCTTTTCCCCTTTTTAAAAATGTCATTTGGTTTTTATATCATCTATATTTCTCAATGTATCCCTGCCCTTTCTAAGACCTATTCTTATAACAAAGGACAAATGAGGGTGGGGGGGTGGGGAGGGAAGACACCAGTTCAACTACAGTAACCAATTCAACAAAAAAGTCTGGGCTGTTCCACATACACAGCCCTAGCTTGTGCACAGAATGGGGTGGGGGAGCTACCTTTTCATAAAGCTGTTATGAAAGGCTTTAAAAGCCAAACTGAAGTTAACATTTTATCTTACAGGATCTACAGTCTATTGATGGGGAGATATAGTTGGATCTAGGCTCAAGGAAAATCACTTTGGTATCTGTATAGCTGATATAATAGAGTGGTCATGTCCAACAACCATGGGTGTCCTTCATGGCTGTGTCCTGGGTCTTGTCTTCTCTCTCCACTATTTCACTTGATCTCATCAGTGTTCATGTATTCAATTATCATCTCTATGCTGATGATTCCTCAATCTACTTATCTAGATCTAACCTCTCTGTTGACCCCTCTCACATCTCTAATTGTCTACTGGATATCTTGAAGAATTCTAAAACTCAACAGGTACAAAATGGAACCCATTATGCCCTTCCCACCTGTCTGTCTTCTGAAATCTTCCCCATTACTGTTGAGGGTACCATCATTATTCCAGTCACCCAGACTTGCAACCTAGGTGCTATCCTCAACTTCTCTGTTATCCTCCATATTCATTCTGTTGCCAAGTCCTGCGAAGTTTACCTTCTAAGAACACTGCTGCCCACTCTCATGCAGGCTCTCATCACTCCACCTTTGGACTGTTACAACAGCCTGCTAGTTTCTCTTCTCTACCTCAAGTCTCCACCTTCCACTTAGCTGTCAAAGTTATTTTCCCAAAATGCAGGTCTGACTATGCTATTCAATAAACTCCACTGGCTCCCTATCACTTTCAGGATCAAACGTAAAGCCCTTTATTTGGTCTTCAAAGCCTTTTACAACTGCATTCCTGCCTCCTCCAGCTTCTAGTCTTCTTAGACCTTACCCACGTCCTCTTCAATCAAATGACACTAGCTTCTTTGTTCCTCAAAAAAGACACTCCATCTCCAATTCCAGGCATTTTCAATGGTCATACCCCTGCTTCTAATTCTCTCTTTCTATCAGATTCCTGGCTTCTTGGAACTTTGGGGTAGTCTAGGAAAGGCAAAGCATGTGAAAAAGAGTAAGGCATATACTGGACATAGACAATGAAGGGCTTTAAATGCATATATTTTACGCTAGAAATAACAAGAGAGCCACTAGAACTTTCTGAGCAGGGCAGTGACATAGTAAGACTTGTGTTTTAAGAATATGACATCAGCAGCTGTGTGGAGGATAACCTGGAGAGAGGAGAGACTAGAAATAGAGAGATCAATTAGAAATTAATGTAATAGTCTATATGAGAAGCAATGAAGGCTTGAACTAAGACAGTAGCCTATGAATTGAGAGCAAGGAATAGATGCAAAAGATGCGGAGGTAAAAATCTGAAAAATTTAACAGTTGATTGGGCATGAGGGATGAGGTAGATTGAAGAGTCAAAGATGATCCCTAGTTTTTGAACCTTGGAAGGATGATGATAGAAATAGTAAAGTTAGGAAAAGAGGTAGGCTCAGGGAGAAAGATATTTTATTCTCCTTTGGCTGTACTGAATTTGAGGTACTTAATGGGGCGTAAAGAAATATGTAGAACGCGGTTGATAAGCCTATGAGAGAAAGTAGTGGTGGATAAACAGAACTTGGAGTCATCTACACAGATTATGTCCATAATCCATAATTAAATATAATTATGATAATAGTAACATATTATATAATTATAATCACAATCCAGAATCCATAGGAACTGATGAGATCACTTTTCACAATGGGAAGGGAGAGGCTCTAGGACAGACCTTTGTTGGGGGGAACACCAACAACTAGGGAATAGGTCATGGATGATGACCCAACAGAGAAAACTAAGGAAGAAGTGCCTTATTACGGTGCTACTGTGCTATGTACTGGTGAACACACTAAGCTACTATTCTTTTCTCCACAGTTTCCACTTATTTTCACTCCCTCCTTGACAAAAATTATAAAAGCAGTTTAATTTTTTTGGTTGTTGCTTTAAGTGGCTGTTCAAAATATTCTAAGAGGATTTTGTAGCTAAAACCAACTGGAGAAGCAGTATGGCTAGTGGATAGAGAGTCAATTGCAGAATTATGAAGCCATGGGTTCAAATCCTACATCTGACATATACTGGCTCTAATCCTAGACAAATCTTTTAAACTTCACAGTGCTCTGGGAAATTCTCAAAGACTAAAAGGGGAAGAGAGGTTGATGACCTACCTTGGTAGAGAGTTTCCACACCCAAGAGTTTCCTATATCAATGAAATTAAAGTTTTGTCCTTATCTCCTAAAATTCTATTATTGAAACAGGTTCTGAAGGAATCTCTTTCTACAAAGTTTGTACAAATTAACGCAATGTCAGATAAGTTCTACTATGCAGACTCAAAACAATTTTTGAAATGCAGTTCATCTTTTAATTTTTACTTCTCAATAAAACACTGTCTAGGCATTCGAGAAATACTGAGAATTATATTATATGATTCATCTTGAAGTTATCTCATCTCAAATAAAGTTCAAGTAGTATTTGAAGCCTGAACTTGACCACTGCCTCCATTAAAAAAAATTTGATCTATGATTTTATTCATAAAAGGAATTCCTGAAGAAACATCATCATTGCCCTTGGCATTTGCTCTGTAATTCAGAGGTCCAGAGAGCTGCTCAGGGCACTGAGAGGGTCACAGAGTCAGTATACACTAGAGAAGAGACCTGAACCCCAGTCTTCACAACTCTATTTGCCACATCAGACTTCCTCTTCAAATTATACATTTGTTGTTATTGTATAAATTTCTCCTGATTTTGCTTGCTTCACTTCCTATCAGTTCAAACAAGTCTTCCCTGGTTTTTCTAAACCATCTCCATAATTTCTCAGAAAATGATAGCGTTCTATTATATTCATATGCTATAGTTAATTCAGCCATTTCCTTAACTGATAGGAAGCACTTAATTTTCAGCTCTGTCACCACAACAAAGGAACAACTATAAATATTTTTGTCTGTACGGATCCCATCTCTCTTTGGTATCTTTGGGAGTACAAATCTAGTAGTAGTATTGGGTTATAGGGTCTGCACAGTTTAGTTACTTCTGGGGCAAAGCTCCAAAATGCTTTCCAGAATGGCTGGGCCAGTTCACACTTCTACCAATAGTATCACTTGTAATTATAAAAGACACTGCTAGGTGCTGCAAGTATTTTTTTTTTTAATGGCTAGAGGTTCCTTTTACCTTTTGGAGTTTTTGCAGTAAATTCAGGATCAAAATAAAATGTGTCTTCAGGTCTACCAGTTGCAGGCTTAAAGGGTGGAAGAATTTCTCTTCTATACAATTTCTAGAATGGAAGATATAAGAATTATATATGTAGTTAACTACAAAAAATGTTTAGAATCACAGGCTATTATGAAGTAGAAAGTATAGTGTTCAGTCTCAATTATATAAAGGGTAAGACAAAGGAAGGCCAAGGGAAGTAAAACAGTTTAAGGGTCAATTAGCCCAGTAACAACAAATGACAAAGGAGGTTAGGTGGAATTGTTAAAAAGAAACAAGCAAGCAAGCTAACACTGGATTTGGAGTAAGGAAAGCTGAATTTCGATCCTAACTCTGCTACTTATTTTCTTTTCGACCTTGAGTCACTGTACTTCTCAGGGCCTCTTCTACAAAACAAGTGGGTTGAATTAGATGATTTATAAAATCCCTTCTCAGGCTTAAATGCTATGAAAAATTATTCTATGAGGTCCGTGAAGCAGGAAAGCCAAAGTTAAAACAGGAAGGGTACCATGAACCAAAGGTAGAGAACAGACGGATAGGCATGCAGTAGAGAGCTAGAAAGCTGAGATAGTCTAAAAATACTCAAGTGATTTATAGCCAGTATTTTTGCAAGGCCTTTTACTTTGAATACTGCATAATTAGTTCAACAAGCACTTATTAAGGCCCTATTACATGTCAGGCTCAAATCTCTAGGCAAGAGACACAAAGAAGAAAACAAAACTGTGCTTGACCTCAAGAAGTTTAGATTTTACTGGAAGTCAGGGTAAATAAAGGCACAGAATGGAATGTATTAGTAAAGAGGCCAATTTGGGTGGAACACAGTGTGACTGAAGGGGAATAATGTATAATTAGCCTGGAAAGACAGGCTGGACATTATAAAGGGTTATAGGAGCCAAACAGAGACCCTTGTGTTTTATACTAGAGACAACAGGAAGTTATGGAAACTTCTTAAGATGGGTATTGACATGGTCAGGTCTATATTTTAGAAATATGACTTTGGTAGCTCTGAGGAAGATGAATGGAAAGGAAAAGTGATTGCTGGATACAAGGAGACCAATTAGGAGGCTACTGAATTAGTTCACACAAGAAATAATGAGGATACCAATTAAGTGGTTATGTCATAACAAAAAGAAGGGGATAGAGCTATATAAGAGATGTTGTACTGGCAGAATCAACAAGATAGTATCTAGATAGACATACTGTACATATTATTATTAAATTGTACTTATTATTCTAGTAGAATGCAAACTCCTTGAGACAAATAATTTTTGTGTTTGTCTCCCCAGGGCCCAGCACAGTGAGTGCCACTCAGCACGTGCTTAATAAGTGCTTGATGATTGTTTGATATGTTGAAGGGGTAAGAGAGAATGAAGAGCAGAAGACATGATCTCTGGGTGGTGAACTTGAGTGAATGGAGGGATGATGGTGCCCCTGACATAGATAGGGAAGTTAGGAGAAAGGCCAGGTCTAAGATGAAAGACTAAGTTCTGTCTTGGACATGTTGGCTTTATAAGCCAATGGGACATGTACATGGCAATGCCTAGGAGACACATGGAGATGTGGGATTAGAGCTCAGGAGACAGAATCAGAATGGATATATAGATTTGTGAGTCATCTACTTAAGTATAATATTTGAAATCATGGATGCTGATAAGATCATCAATAAAGAGAGTACAGAGAGATAAGAAGGCCTAAGATATACCCTTGTGGCATACTGACAAATATGGGGAAGTACATGGATAATAGTACTGGCACTCTAACTGATGTAGGGCAAATGTTCTTCACTGAGCCCTGTATAGAACTTAAAAACAATCTATTTCAAATCCCTCATTTTAGGACGTGGAAACTAAACCTTGGAGAGTAAACTGCCCTGCCCAAAGTCAAAGCAAATTATTGTAGACAATCAAACCTATACCCCCTGACTCTTATGTCAACGTTTTTTCCACTTACAATTATAATGCACTGCATTTTCATATTAAGCAAGATTTTATTCAATACTTACATTCCAGTCTATTGTGGAGAAAAATGAGTGCCTTTTAATTTCTTCAACTCCATCTGGCCCCGCTCCTATCAAAAGTCACGGAGATTAGATGCTCACTTCTCTTCAAGCAAGTAAAATTTATTTATTATAATTTGCTTAATAAAATGGTTAGCTTAAAACCTTAACATAAGAGTTTTGAGAAGCAAAAAAAGTTTACCTAATCTGTTTGCAGGATTTCGTTTGAAAAGCATTCGTAAAAGACTCTGTGCTTCAGGGCTTAAAAACTGTGGCATTCCAAGTTTGGCTCTAAAGATTAAACAATAAAAAATTTTAGTAAATAATCAAGTTTTGTATCACTCTTTCCCAGAGATTCTTCAAAAGCTACAAGTTAGGGAAATTAATGGCCCCAAACATTTATTTGGATTTATGAAAAGTTTTTTTTTTGATAATTGTTTAATTTCAACACCTAGAAAATGGATACAATTAAATACAATTCTTTCATGTATTTAAAATACTCACTGCAAGTTACATGTTTTAAAAATGTGATTTTGCAAAAACAGAGGAAAAAGTTTTACATAGACATTTCCATTTTCAAGAAGAAAAAAAGGGGGCAGCTAGGTGGTGCAGTGGAGAGAGCACCGGCCCTGAAGTCAGGAGGACCTGAGTTCAAATATGACCTCAGACCAAACACTTGACAGTAGCTGTGTGACCCTGGGCAAGTTACTTAACCCCAACTGCCTAAAAATTAAAAAAAAAAGAAAAAAGAAAAAAGGTAGGATGCAAGAATTCCTATGTGAATTAATGCAGAATTTGTACTGTAGGGTTTGGGTATGTACTTTATGTATCCTGCTTGAGTAAATTAATATAATGCTGATTTATGATTGAGAAATGTTTGAACTTGAGAATAAAATGGTAAAAAGGTTTTTTAAAATGGGGCCACAACCCAAATTTGTTTTTGGATGGGACCTATGAATTCAAGGTAAAGAAATTTGACAACCACTGCAGAACTGCTCCTGCTCTCAGAGAGATACCTGGGTTGAGTTAACTGATTTGACCAGGGTTAGATAGATGTGGGACTTGAATATAGTTTTTCTTTAGCTAGGGTCAGCTTTCTATGTACTATATACCATGCTACCTCTTAACAACCCTATGGTATAAGACAGGGCTATTTTAGCCGTCATTAACAGCACTATAAAGCTATGGACCTTTTTCTTACTTAACCCCGCCCCCCCAACCACAGTGAATGTAATATTCATTTCTCTGCTACTTTTTATACACCAATTAGAATTTTTCTCAATATTTCCAGACTGAGTCATTTACTAAAGTAAAAATACTTCAATGAAGTCCTATTATGTGACATTCAATTTGACTCTGGACACTGGAAAGTCTTGTCAGTGGAACATAAACATTTGTAGATCCTATAAAGGAGACAAGGAGCTTACATTGTACAGGCCCTTGGACTGACTATGTCTGTTTTATGATGACCACCGTAGCTCAAATCACAGGGGTAACTCAGAAAGTTGGCTGCAGTGTGATGTATTTTTGGGCCACAGCAACTTCTGAAGATTAACTAACCAAACTGTACAGGAATTACAATTGGCATTAAAGGAGGGAGTGCCAACAACAATGAAATCATGGATCTTTGAAGTACAAAATCTACATTTTAAGTTTATAGTGTCATATAAATAAGAATACTTACTTGAGAATCATAGTCATAGTTTCTTTTCGGTCTTTTCCTTGAAATGGTAGTGTACCAGTAAGCATCTCAAACTACAAAAATAAAATATTTAGCTGCATCAACTAATTGGATGAATGCCAAACAGGGAACCTAAAAATGTCACAATGTAAACAACTAGGAAATTAATAATTTAATTATATTCATTACTAGCATACATTTGCCAGTTATCTTAGAGAAATATACGAACCATAATTAATTAGTTGAAAGTTTTCAGATTTTCAAAGTTCATAAATATTTCTGAAGCATTTGGCAGAAAAATTCATATATCAAAATTCATATATTTAACAAACGAAGAACGGCTTGTGACATGACCAATGTGAATTTGTTTTGGTTTACTATACATATTCATAACAAGGGTTTTGTTTTTCTTTTTTCTTCAAATGGGAGGTTGTGAGAGAATTCAGGGGAAAGAATATAGAATTTTAAAAAATAAAAAGCAACAGAAATATGAGTTATTGTGTATAAGTTTTTTAAAAAACTACAAATGTATGTATAGTCATTTCTGTTATTTAAGTACAAGTTCAAAATAAATTAATTTTTAAAAAACTGCTTTGTAAACCAATCTTATGGAAAAGGAATGGCTTGTGGTAGAGAATACTACTATAAGGAAACTGAACTAAGCTAATAAAAAAATGAAAAAAACTTGAAGAACTAAGAAAAACCTAACATGAAGGGAAGCACCACGACAGGAAAATCAGGAAAACAAACATTATGAGTTATATAGACATTATCACATGGTGAATGAATTAGAGTTGTAAAACAAAGTACTTCCTATGTGAGATATAAGGGAGAAAGACATTACTGAATGGGGGTGATTCAGGGAAACTTCATGAAGAAAAGGGCATTTGGATACAATGGGTAAGATGGAGAAGGACAACACTCCAGGCATAGGAGGCAGCAACATGAACAAAGGGGTAAGAGGCATGAGAGGGGAGGGATGGAGAGAAGAGAGGAGACTGGTTTGGCTAGAATATAGTGTATAGAAAGGGAATACTATAAGGTAAGACTGGAAAGGTAATGCCAGATTATAAAGAGCCCTGAACGACAGGCAAAGGAGTACGAACTTTATTCAGAAGGCAACAGAAAATTCCTCTAAACTTTTAAGTGGGAAAATGACATTACCAAATCTACACATAAGAAAGATGACTCTGGCAGCAAAATGAACATAGGATCATAGATTTAGAGCCAGAAGATGCTTTAGAGGAGGATGCTGCGTCCAAATCCCTACTTTTACAGATGAGCGAGGCAGCTCTGGATAGAGCACCAGCCCTGGAATCAGGAGGACCTGAGTTCAAATCCGGCCTCAGACCCATAACACTTACTAGCTATGTAACTCTGGGCAAGTCACTTAACCCCAACTGCCTCACCAAATAAATAAATAAATAAATAAACAAACAAATAAATAAAAATGCTCTCATGCAGATGAGCAAACTGAGAGTGGACTGAGGGCAGTGGATAAGAGAGTAAATCAGCAAGAATATCTGTCTACTGAAATAGTCTAGGTACCTAGAAATCAAGGCATTTACTAAGGTCCTGGCAATGGGTAACACAGAAGGGGGAAGGATGGAACCAATTTTGTGAGGTGTAATCAACAGGATCTGTTGGTTGGTAATTGATTGTAGGTGGGAAAGGAAAGGGCTGAGGTATATATATCCCAAAGCAACAAACTTCGGTGATACTGAAGAAATAGCAAAGTTAAGAGGAAGCTTAGTTTGGGACATGTTGGATTTGAGATGTTAGATAATTAGTAGAGATGTTCTATAGGTAGTTGGGAGTGGGAATCTGAAGCTCAGAAGAGTTCATTTGTGAGTCATTTAACGTCGTCAGTAATTGCAACCATGGAAATGAATGAAGTAAGGCAAAGAATAGAACAGGGCCAAAAACAAACATCTGAGGAACACTCATATTAAAAGACTGTAAAGTGAATGAGACAAGGAAGGGATTGTAAAGATAAGAAAAGATCCAGGAAAGTACAGTTTTCATGGAATTCAGCAGGGAGGGAATATCCAGTAGAATAGCAGTCAGTAGTGTCAAAAGATGCAGAGATACCAAGAAGATACATCCCTGTGGAATTTGAAGATTAATTTCTTTCTTGTTATGTATATATTACTTTTTCAAAGAGATATCTGGCTATTAATTTAAAATACAAGAAAAGGCTCCCTTTGCCTCTCCTCGAAAGGAAACAATACTTGTAAAATGAGGGGAAAAAGCTACAAATTCATTGGACAGTTTCCATTTCCTGACAGCCTTAGTAGAAAATTTGGGATTATACACATTCCTTCCCTTAGTATATGCTTCTGACAGAGTTCTATCTGTGTAACAAGTATTGCTGAAAATATTCACACAGTATAACACACTGGATTGTTCTTTGTTATTGGCTATAGTCACTATTTATAGAGCCTGTTATTACTTATGACTGTCTCTTACTTTAGGTTAAAATAAGGAAGGATTTTATGGTGGGACTAACTTTGTCTCAATCTATCATAAAAATAAATTTACCATTAAATCTACAAATACAGGAAACCAAAATATAAATTAACTGACTTTTAACATAGTCTTATTCTTTTGGTATGCTTGTTCTTATTTAATAAACAAAGCCTTACCATCAAAACACCAAAAGACCACCAATCTGCACTCTGCGTATGACCTCGTCGATTAACTACTTCTGGAGCCATATATTCTACTGTTCCACAAAAAGAATAGGCCTTCTTCTCATGATCAATAGATTCTTTACTTAGGCCAAAATCTGTTAAAAAAAATCAATTTCATTATTTTCCTTAAGAACTTGTCATTTAAAACAATCTCCAATTTATATTTTTTCTATTTAGATATTATTTTCTATTTCAGTAATTTTCTTTAAAATGGCAATGTGAATTATAATGGATAGGAACTAATATTTTAATAAAATTAGGATTTATATTTACCTGTTAACTTGATGTGGCCTTCTTCATCAAGAAGTATGCTGGAAGAGAACACACAAGTCTAAAAATCTTTTACCATCTTATTTTTAGAACATACGAATATATTAAACTAACTTCACAGAAGAATTTGTTACACAGTAGCTAAAACTGAAACTTATTATATTTATCCAGAGAAATAAATTATAATACTGGGTGGAAAACATCACTTTAAACTGTACCTGGAAGGCAATAACTGTGAAACAACAAGATTGGGGAAGTAGAGTGGTATTGTGAAAAATAACTTTGGACTTGGAATGAGAAGACCTCAATCGGAATTTTGGCTCCATTATTTACTGAACTGTGGAAATCAATTAACTTCTTCACCTATAAAGTGGGAAAACTTGCATTATAGCCATCACAGTATTATGTTGTGGAAAGCAAAGGTGCTACACAAATGCATGCTATTATTATTCTAACATAATTTTTGACAAAACAATACCAAATGCCAAAGGTAAAATTATAATATTATATGAATGACCCAGAAACACTTAAAATAGCTATCACTAAATACAAATGCAGCTCTGGAAATGCTGTTAGTTATACATTCAACTACCAGTCATTTACAGCTAGATTCCAAAACTTTTAATTCAAAGAGTAAATCTTTTCTAATTGTGTGTTATTGCATCTTCTATGACATTGGTTGCCAAATTAGCATCACTAGGGTTCTGCAGAAGGGTCCTACAGGAGCCTCAGAAACAGACACTGTAATCTCCCAGTTAAATCCATAGAGGGGCGGAAAATGGGAAACTTTTAAAGTGAAGAGGACTTAATGCCTTTCCCTAGCAAATTCAATCCATGGAAGCAGTGGGAATAGCATCTCCTAAGCCCCAACCTCAAACTCCTTTACAACTAAAAATATTTTCAACCTCCAAGTCAGTGGTTGTTAGAGCTAACAATTTATGTCTTTTGAACAAAATTTACAATTATAAAAATTTGGGAGAAGTATTTCTCCCCTATTTAATAGCTATTTTTTTGATGAAAAAAAAAATCCAACTATGTGGTAATAGCTTATGTACAAGTAACATAAGCATATTCATTGACTAGTCACAATAGACTAGTCCACCTTCTAGGCCTAAAAAAAAAAGTACAGTACTACATACATTTTGGCAACCCCCCCCCCAATTTGGCATTTACTTTCCAGATATATAATAGCATTATACAATGTAAGGAAAACTACATTTAGAGTCTGAAAACTAAGTTTGAGTCACAGATGTGCCACTTAGGGCAACTCTCTGATCTGAAGTATTAAATTTTTTGAGCCTGTATAGTTGGAGTCATAATACTTCTGCCTTAATACATTCTACTGCATCTTCATCACAGGATTGTTATTTAAGTTATATCACTAACTACAGCTAAGTAAATAGATACAAACTTAAGTAATAACAAAATTCCAGCACTGTAAACAGCAACAAAAGTAACTCTGATGAAGCACGTAACCTAGAAGTAGTGTTATTAACTGCTGTTAAACAGAGCTCTAGCTGGGAATGCTAACTTTGGTACAGCTTTGTAAAAGTTAGTATACCCAGCTTGTGCTCTATTTAACAACTGGTTAATAACACAGCAGCATCTTACATGCACAACTGTAATCACTTTTTAGTATTTTGTTTTGGTTCTTAATTATTTTTGTATTGTCCTTTTTTAGAGTTACATGTTTGCATGCTTATACAAATCAACTGAAGTCGAAACAAAACTTATGAATAAGTCATGTTGGGAAAAATAATCTAGAATGAGAATAAAGGCCATTTTCAGCAACCAGACTGTTAACAATTCAAAAAACACTGACATGTCTATTAAGGGCCATACTGTTACTGTGAAGTGCCCCTGGGAAGGATTTCAACCATATCAATGTTCAGTTCTAACTCCTTGGAAAGAAAAGGGGAAAAAAAATTTCTGTCTGACTAACTGTGAGGAAAAGAAAACTAACTTGTTAACAATTCACATAATCTGTACTGACGTGCAAAACATGATCCCAAAGGGGCTAGGTGGTGCAGTGGATAGAGCACTGGCCCTGGAGTCAGGAAGAGACCTGAGTTCAAATACGGCCTCAGACACATAACACTCACTAGCTGTGTGACTGTGGGGAAGTCACTTAACCCCAATGCCTCACCAAACCAAACCAAACAAAAAAACAAAAACCATGATCCCAAATGTGAATAGATTTGGAGGGTATATAAGACCTGGTACTTGCTTGACTATATATTTCAATTGGCTTACCCAAAGGTAAGCTAATTCTCTAAAGAAATGATATTGTGAATGTACCTAAGTCAGCTCCCCTCATTTAACAGGTCACAACAGTAAAAAAAGAATATCAGAAAATTTTTGGGTGGTATTTATTTCTGAAAACAGCATAGTTCAATAGAAGCTGATAACTAAAGTAAAAAAGTCATACTGATGCTGAAGGAATCCTGAAGATTTGGCATTTACTCATGTTATAATAAAATATATTTGGTCATTTGGGGACTTAAGCCTTTTAAAAAATCCGTTGCCATCCTAAGAGATTATAACATTTTAAGACGTGAAGAAAAAAGTGACATGTATATGAATGTACTATCACAATAATTAGCCAACCAATAGCATTTATTAAGTGCTTACTATGTGCTAGGTATTGTGGTAGGTATTGGGGATTCAAAGATGAAAATGATGTGTGTACCATCCCGCAAAGAGAGAAAATGTGTACATATTATAGGCGTGTGCAAAACAGACACAAGATGGTTTGTGGGGGGGAAGATATCACCAGGTAGGTAGGATCCAGAAAGGATTCATGTATAAAACTGTAGTTAATCCAAGCCATGAAGGAAGGAAGGGATTCTACAGGGTGGATATGAAGGAGTGAATTCTAGACACGAGGGACAGAAAGTCAGTGTAAAAGCACAGACACAAGAGATGGAATGCTATGTATATGGAACAATAAATAAGGTCATTTCTGTAGGACCACAGTATTTATGAAAGAGGAATTATGTGGAATAAGTCTGGAAAAGATAGAATGGTATAGCCATAAATTACTATATGAATCTAATGGTCTCTAAATTCTTTAAAATAAGTTTAACTGTGATCTACCATTACTGGCATAAATGATGGCAGTGAATCAAATAAGGATTATTTTATTTGCACTACCATTAGGTATTAACTTATAGTTAGCAACATTTGTTAAGAAATTCTAATATCTGTACATTCTCTCCAAGTGTGAAAAACACCTGATTGGCACAATGAAAATGTTCTGATTTAACACATATTAAATATATAGCACATATATAAAACATTCAATCTAGTAATTTTTTTTTAAAGCTCAGACTTCTAATTTAATCCGTGTAGGCTGACGAGGAAATTCCCTTTACTAATGTAGACTGACAAGTATTTGGCAATTTAGTCTTTGAGAGTAGGGGTGCTAAGAAACTAAATGACCTGCATCAGGGCAATGAAGCCAGCATGTACAAAATGCAAAGTAATAAAGTAATAAATCAGAGTAATAAAGCCAGTACGTGTCAAAGGTAATATCTGAACCCATGCTGTCCTGACTTCAAGATCCTCTGTGCTCTATATCAATGAATATTAACTGAATATGTGTCTGCAACACACACAATATATCTATATATACATAATTTCTGCAATACATATAACACATATTACATATCTTATTATACACATACACATGTGTACATACAAACACACACACACACACATACACATCTTATTGTAATAGGCTTCTTGGGCAGGTAGGTGGTGCAGTGGATAGAGTACTGGGTCTGGAGTCAGGAAGACTCATCTTCCTGAGTTCATACCTGGCCTCAGATACTGCCTAGCTGAGTGACCCTGGGCAAGTCACTTAACTCTGCCTCAGGTCCGCATTTGTAAGAAGAATAGGAAATGGCCAACCACTCCAATATCTTTTCGAAGAAAACCTCAAATGGGGTCACAAAGAGTTACAACAACAATAGGATTCTTGAACCTTGTCAAATCTTCCCTTGAGCTCCATGACATGAAACCTGTGTTTATGTAGTTCTACAAACCCAGTGGTCTGCGCATATGCTTCACAGAGATATAAATACTATTATATATTTCTTTTATTCAATAGTCTTATCTTCCTTAATTTTTCTTCTATTGTAATGTAGAAGAATAAAGTATCTCTCTTATGATTTCATATGACTTTGTTTATTCTTACCAGAAGCCAAATTTTGTGCCATCACAATTAGATATTATGGAAATCATAAAAAACAAAACAAAAAAACCACAGAGGTGCTTTGGGAAGTAAATAGAAATGAGTGAAACTCACCTAGAAATAAAACACAGAGGATAAAAAATGGAAAATGTATAAAACACAATTAGTTCTAAATGGATCAAACAGTACCTTCTAAAAAGGTATTACAGAAAATAAGTACTGGAAGGGAACTCAGAGATCAAATTTTTCATTTTTAAAGATGAGAAAATTGATTATCTAGACATTAGGGACAGAATTTAGGTTTTCTCATTGCCAATTTAGTAATCTTTCTGCTACCAAGTACTGCCTTCAAGAAACCTTTGCTATGGGCAGCTGGGGTGTTGCAGTGGATAGAGCAGCGGTTCTGGAGTCAGGAGGAACTGAGTTCAAATAAGGCCTCAGACACTGAAGGCTTACGAGCTGTGTGACCCTGGGAAAGTCACTTAACCCCAATTGCCTAGCCAAAAAAAAAAAAGAAACCCTCGTTCTAAGTTACATCTTATCTTGTTGAAGTTTAAAGAATTACTTTTTGTTTTTGATTTGTTTCTCAAGATGTAGTGAATAAAAATTTCAACAGGTAAGTGTCCTCTCCCACATTTCCAGTCACTTTATTTCTCCACTATCCACTGACGCTGGTCTCCTTGCTGTTTCTCACATACCACACTCCATCTCCCAACTCCATGCATTTTTACCAGCCGTCCTTCATCTCTGGAAATCTCTCCATTTATGAGAGAATCTAGTTTGTCATCTCCCTCCCAGCCTCCTCTGGGTTCCCTCAAGTCCCAGCTAAAGTCCTACTTTCCGCATGAAGATTTTCCTGGTCTCCATTAATGTTAGTGCCTTCTGTCTGAGATTATCTCCAGTCAATCCTGTACATATCTTGGGTGTACATGGTTGTTTTCGTGTCATCTCCCTCATTAAAACTCTGAGCATCTTGAGAGGAGAGACTGTTTTTGCCTTTCTTTGCATACCCACAGCTTAGCACAATACCTAGCACATAACAAATGCTTAATAAATGTCTGATGCCTTCACCTGACTTTCAAACAAAATAGTTTATACCAAAGCAGAATGGCAGTATAGGAGAAGCAGCATGGAACAGTGGACAAAACATTAGATCTGGAGTTAAGAGGGCCTTTTTTCAAATATGGGTTCTTGTTGCCTGTATGACTTCGGATAAATCATTTTGGGTCACATCCTTAGATCTTTTTATCACCATCCAGCATTCCACTTCTTTGTTCATGAACTAGAAATTCTTTTATTTGATCATAATCATTTATAATTTCATCTTTCTCTTTGTATTATGATGCCTAACCTTACTTTTTATCCTCACCATGACCTCTGTTATTTCCACATCTCAATTCTCTCCCAAGTCATTTCCCTTTGTACTGGCAATACTCTTCCCTTCCCTATTTCACACAGGAGGCCAACCAGTTCCACTTGACATCATCCTCCAGCCTTCACTCTCTTCCCCCACCATGCCCCAGGTCATGTCTAACCAGACCCCACCCCAGGTTTATTGCCGGCATCTATCTCTTTTGCTCCTATTCCTTACCTAGCCTAAATCACTGAATGGGCGTTGCCTCAGTCAAACTGAGACCTGGGAAGGACTTTAGCTTAAAAAGGCCAAGTTCCCTATTACTCAGAGCAGTGATGTCAAATTCAGATAGAAATGGGAGCCACTAATTCATACATAAGGATCTCTGTGGGCTGCATATTGACTTGGTTTTAAAATATATTATCTGTTTTGATGTACTTTTGATTTATTTTGTTAAATATTTCTTAATTATATTTCAATCTGGTCTGCAGCCTGCTTGTTTGACACCTCTGGCCTAAAGGATCGAAGAGAAAGTCTTTTACATTTAAAGCTCTTCATAACCTAGTCACTTCCTGCTTTTTAAGTCTTCTTACACTTTACGTCTTTCCTCATAGTCTAATGATAAAGTGACACTCCTATTTCCAGTTCTTCAATATGACACTTCCTACACTATGTCTGGGCTTTTGTACTGGCTGTGCCTCATGCCTGGAATGCTCTGCCCTCCCACCTCTGACCACTGGCTTCCTTCAAAGCTTTCCCTCTTGGGAACCCTTTCTAAGTCCTTGTAGGTGCTGGTGCCTTCCTTTTCAGAACACTTTCTATATTCTCTCCAAACAACTTTTATATATCTAGTTTCTTGTTGCTTTTCTTTGTAGCTCCAGTGCTAAGCATATATCAAGCCATTTAATAAATGTTTGTTAAGTGACTTAACCTCTCCTAGCTTCAGTTTCCTCATCTGTAAAATGAGGACCTAAATCTACAAACCTGTGCAAACACAAGTTACACATATCAAAATTTTATATAAAGCTAAAATTGGTCATGACAGCTATTGCTGACAATTATGCTTTAAAATTTTAAGCTTAAAACATTGAGTCTATCAACTGACATTTTTGTTCCTGTTTTAACAATGTTTTAATTGCCATATACATGACTACAGTTATAAAGGAGAATTTTGGAACTTAACAGAAGCAATCCTTACTTTTCGGGTTTTAGGTCTCTATAGATTATTCCAAGACTATGTAAATGATCTAAAGCAAGTGCAAGTTCAGCCAAGTAGAATTTGACATCTTCTTCTGTGAACATCACCTAAGGAAAGAAATCAAATTTTATTTAGTGCTCATTTTTAGTTTGTTCTTGTGCATTAAAAACAAAAACAATGTCTTCTATCCTGTGGCTCTGGTATTAAAAAGCGATTTGCAAATATGATTATATTCCACTTTACCTAATCAATTATCAAGACTTTATTATGCACTAGGGATGTAGCCAGGGATTAACCTACCCTCTTGGTTTTTGAGGAGCTTTGAAAATTAATTTGATCGACCAAATATTTATATTTCTTATGCATCTAGCACTATGAGACATAGCAAAGATTTTTTTATCATATAAAATTTAACTCTGTGATGACTCAACTGTTGTCCTGTCATTCATTCAATACCCATTATTAAGTACCTACTATATGCAAAGTCCCTTTCTTAAACAGAAAACCATTTTTGGACTACTGAAATTGTATTATCACTCAAGGATGTCTTTTCGATGTATCCTCCCATTGGCAATTGTTTTTTACTTGACATAACTGAAAGAAGTGCCAGCAGATAAAAGGGCTTTAGTCATTCACCTTTCTAGAGGTAAGGTCCTTATTTTCAGGACAAAACTAAAGAGTAAGAAAACAATTCTGGGTCACTGATTCTTTAATGAGAATCTTATGTCACAGATAGGTTACAGCACAGTGAAGGAATAAAATATAGATTTAATTACTTACTTCTTTGGATAAGCGTGTAAACAAATCTCCTCCCCTGAGAAAATCCAAAATAAGATATAGTTTCCCTTCTGTTTGAAAAGCTGAAAATATTAATTGAAATGAGACAATGTCAGTAAGCACCAATCAGTATAGTTTATATTTTTAAGTGTTTATTTGGGCAATTTATTAAACACTTTTTTGAATAAAAGGAATAAATAATAAAGAAAAAACCAAAAGAAATGCTAATAATCTATAGCTTAAAAAAAGCTAAAATTGGGGTTGGTGCAAGTCATTAATTTTTCCTGATCTTCAATTTGGAAATATAAAAATCAGTATGAAATAGGAAGTGGTAAGAGCTTCTGTTAAGTTTTTCTTCACTGCAGTTCTTGTATTTAATTTTCTGACAGACTGGTTGTGAAATATCAAATTTATAAAATGCATGGCTGGATCTAGCCATACACCACAAGAGCCATTATTTTTTATTTATAATGAGGAAACAAGATGGTCTGGGGTTTTGGGAACAAGGTTACTGCTGTCTCAACATTCTTCTCTGGCATTCCTATTTTTAAGACTGCTCCAACTTATAGCTCTTATTCAAGTATTAAGTGTTATCTTTAGAATATTTACCTGAAACAGCCAAGATGAACGTATATTTTAATCCAAAATAAATTTAGGCACCAAGGTCAATGTAAAGTAAAAAACCAAAACAAAATACAAAAACACACAACAAACTTCTCTACATTAAACTATTCCTCTCATTACAAATACTACTTGTAATTGGGAGTTGGTAACAGCAAACAACACACTAAATTTAACATAACTAAATACAGAGGGAGAAAGGAATAAATAAGAGATCAAACTGTGGAAGTTGTACTACAAGAATAGTTTAAAACCAGTATTTTGGTAGGAAAAATGGTAGTTTAAGTTTCAAAATTTAAACATATATATGCTTCTTACCTTATGCCTACCATTTAGGTACCGTATTTTAATTTGTCATACTTTGTGTAGTAAACATACACATTGGCAAATACACTTCTGCATATATTTAATTTTTACATATTACTAGCTGCATCAAGCAACTGTAAAGATAATTTTCTATTTATAACTCAAGACATTTAAGAATTACTTTAAAAAGTATTTCAGTTTCAGGAAGGAAAAAAATAACTACCAGTCTAAGGTTAAGCAACCATAGTTTAGACAAATGAAACTACTTAAAAATCCAGCCAATCTTTAAGTCTGATACATAGTAACTTCTCCCATTCCCCCAATAACTTACCATAATGCAACTTAACAATAAATGGATGGTTAACTTCTACCAGGATATCACGTTCCATTTTTGTCCGAACACGATCTCGAACTATAAGACAAAGTCCATATAACTGAATCAGAATAGTTTTGAAATCTTTAATTAATTACTTTTCTGAAAAGCCATGTTTGTGTGTATTATAAGTGTGTAAATATAAATATATAATCTGTTGCCTTCTGAATCACTAGAAAGTAACAAAATATATCTAAGTTAAATATATTCAAGAAGAATTCACTGGAAGCTTCAAATATGGCTTGGAAATGCTTTCTCCCTTCTTTTTAAAAAATAAGCACACTAAAAACTGGTTTTAAAATGGATTAAAGCATCTCTGGGAGGGACTGTTAACACAGTGAATGGTACTTAGGAATCAAAAAGCTTTTGTACGATAGGTGATGCCAGCTGGTCAAACCTAATAAGATGAAATTTAAGAGAGCTAAATGAAGGTCTCATATATTTGGGATATGAGGAATGAAAAAGAACAGTCTCATTCACTGAAATATTCTTTTACTCTGTCTTACATAAGACAAAAGGGCTGAAATACTAAGCTTTGAGTCCTGATGACTAGAAAAAGTTATGCCACTGACAGAAATTTTAAAAATCTGGACAACATGACTACTGTTTTGTAGTGGAAAGGGACAGACCTGGTATTAGTTCTGTTGTTTTTTATTCATTTTCAGTAGTGTGTGACTCTTTGTGACCCCATTTGGGAGTTTCTTAGAAAAGTTAAGAGTAGTTTGCCATTCCTTCTCAATCTCATTTTATAGATAAGGAAACCCGAGGCAAACAGGGTTAAGTGACTTGCCCAGGCTATCCAGCTAGGAAGTGTCTGAGGCCAGATTTGAACTCAAGAATACGAGTCTTCCTGACTTCAAGCCTGGCACTCTATTCATTACACCACTGCAGTGGAAAGCTGACCTTCCTACTTTCTCTAATTATCCCCTTGAGTAAACTTCTGGTTCCTACTATATTTTACATGTGTTAGTAACTTGGTTACTGAGGTGATTTGGGAATACAAATACGGACAGAAATAAATTAGACTGAAGAGTTAATGTCCAATCTTCTCATTCTGCAATCACTGACCTCTTATCTAGGACAATGATAGAATGCTCCTAATAATAGGCAATCAGGAAAGAGACTAATTCTTCTCTCTCTAATCAGCACTGCTCTTCACTTGGAAGTCCTGCTGGTATCTAAAACTCACTGTATTTAAACCAAGGTTCTACATCTTTCCCATTACTATATATCCTGTGTATTTTTCCTATTACTATCTTTCCAGTAACTTTATTGTCTGAGGTTCTCCTCTTTCCTTTACTCCCATAACATTAATAACAAATCTAGCTGTTATTTTCTCACATCTCAGCTCCACATCTTATCCCATGGAACCTATGGAACCTATATCTAGGCCATTACTTTATACCTAGAACAGCGCAACAGTTTCACAGTAAGACTCATTTACACCTCATTTAATCTATTCTACACAAAGCAGCTACAAAGGTAGCTTTTTCCCCTAACATTTTAATATCACTTCAGTAGTCAGGAGACAGGTCTTGCCTTTGCTACCAATTAACTATGTAACACAGAAAGCTATTTAATCTCTCTGACCCTCAATTTCCTCATTTACAGAGAAGGGGGAAAAGGTCTATCTAGATATTTCTATTCTTTCATGATAAGATTGTTGTATTAATATTTTCCACATTTCCTTATACGTAACACTGAGGAGACTTGTTTATACAGAGCTGAAAATTAGCAGAGTCTCATTCACTGGTCTTCCTTTATTTCTTCTGATGTAAAATTGTATAAAAATTCTTTGACCCAGTTTCTTCTGCTTATGTAAAAGTACTAGGAGCAAATATAAATCACCCTATGCTCAAGAATTTTAATTAGTATACTGGTTCAGAATAGAATAAGAGCTCTCTTTTGCTCTGGTAAACTACAAACCCTAAAATGGAATTTGTTATACTGATCTATGCTGGCAAAGTCGTTACATTTCTTTGAATACATTTTTCCTATGTAGTAGTGAGTTTTTTAAATCTAAACCTTGCCTGGAATAACAAAACAGTTTTAAGGGCTTTATGGCACCCTCTTAGGGTCTCTATGGTTCAACAATAGTTTATATCACTAATTTTTAACTTTTTAGAAATACATGCCACTCAGAAGGACAAAAGATTATCACGGATCTTTCTATATCTACCAAAATTAATGAGAAAAATGGTGCAACTTGTGATGAAACTTCAAAGAGAAATACAATTATGCCAGAAACAAAAATAAAGAAACCACCAAATTGCAAACATTAGTACGAGACCAGCCTATAGATCAAAAGATGCACCAAAATACTTTGAAAATCAATGTTTTATCAAAGGCCATAGTGAAAGAATAGGAGAGTAAGTGTAGACTTGGAAGTTACGAAGACTTGAAATGGTAGTTTATACTATATGTTTCTATGTCCTGTCATTAATCCCTTTGAGTGATGCTTTTGTCTCCCATTCTATTGTAATCCTAAGCCAAGTCCAATGGTCTTAAGTTCTCATTCTGTATGATCTCTCTTTAAGTCTGGACACATTTTCTTCCTGGATACTTCCTCCTCTGTTGGTTTCTGAGACATTAGTCTCCCAGTTTTCCTCTTACCATTCCTCTGTCTCTTTTCCCTGAGCTCTCATCTGTGTTCCAGACACATATTTCTACCTGTCTTCAGGACATCCCTACCCGGATCTCCCACTAGCAACTAAAACTCAACAAGTCCAAAAATGAGTTTATCTTTCTCCTAGAACTTACTCTTCTTTCTGACATTGCCACTTCTTGTTCTAGTACCCACCACTCATCCTTTTCCTTCCTATTTGACTCTTTCCTTTTCCCTTAGCTTTCATACCTAATCAGGTGTCAGGCCCTATAAATTCTATCTCCACAACATCTCTGGATTCTATCCCCTCTTCTCTATTACCACTGTGACTCCTCCATGCCTGCACTTACACCATTCCCTATGTAATTCTCCACAGCCTAACAAATTCTTACTCAGCCTCTATAACTCAAACCAAATGTCACCTCCTCTCAGGAAACCTTCCATGATCCCTATCTCTATCCCCAATTCCTCACCTGATAATGACCTTTTCCCAATATTTTTATGAAACAGATATGAAATATTAATTCCACTTAAGATCTGTCTAGAGCTAAAAAAAAAAGGTGGGTAAAGCTTCTCTAAATCTCTATCACCTCTCAAGGAATACTCCTAATAATTTTTCCATTAATAAAGATTCTTTTAAAATATAAGATAATTTCTCCCTCTACAAATTAAAAACTGTTTTGAGACAAGACAAAAATCCAGGGGATTTGAGAGGTAGAAGACAAGGGTCACAGAGCCCAAGGTCGTAACCACCCTGCAAGTCATCCTCCCATTATCCAGAAGGATGCATTAAAAAAGCAGTTGACTTAGTACAAAATACATATAAATTACTATCATCTGTTCAAAGAGAAAAATCTGTAAACTTAGTGCCTATATTTGAGAGCTAGGGGTGAATTTACTTTAAAATTAGCTAAATTTTGCATCTAAGAAAAAGATGATACAAATTTATCATGTTACTCTCCTGAAATCAATTACCACATATTCACTGTTCCTTTGTTCCTATGTTCATTTAGCTGCCAAATTCTATTTTCCTTCCTTATATTGTTGTTCAGTTGTGCTTCCTGATATATATAACTATAACTACAACATCACCCTGGATTTACCTAATACCTGGACTATTTCAACACGTGCTTGTGCCAGCTTTCCCCCTCTCATACACTGCATGAACTACAGCAAGAATAACCTTCCTTGTAAAGCTTTAGGCACATTATTCTTTTTTTTTTGGTGAGGTGATGGGGGTTAAATGACTTGCCCAGGGTCACACATCTAGTAAGTGTTAAGTGTCTGAAGCTGGATTTGAACTCAGGTCCTCCTGACTCCAAGGCCAGAGCTCTATTCACTGTGCCACCTAGCTGCCCCCTAGGCACATTATTCTTAAGAAACACTCCTTATGGGGCAGCTAGGTGGTGCAGTGGATAGAGTACCAGCCCTGATTCAGGAGGAACTGAGTTCAAATCCAGCCTCAGACACATAACACTTACTAGCTGTGTGACCCTGGGCAAGTCACTTAACTCTACTGCCTAACCAAAAAAAAACCAAACCAAACCAAAACAAAAAAACACTCCTTAAGGATTATAATCAGAGTGCTTCAGAGAAAAAGCACAATGAAGAGAAACAATTATGATACTGGGAACAAACTAAAACTCACGGTAGTATATTAAGAGATAACTGTCATTAAAACAGCAAAAAGAACTGAGCTGTAACAGTTGTTTCAGAGGTCCAAAGATCAAGTTTAATGATAATAGTTACCACAGAATTCTATTTTTAGAGCTAAAATACAGTTCAGTTACAGATGAGGAAAACTGAGACTAAGAGGTGAAGGGACTTGTTCAAGGGCCTAGTGAATTGATGGGGGCCAGATCTCCTGACTTTTACTACAGTTCTTTTTCCATTATATGGCACTGCTTTCCAAATTTCCAACAGAATCATCATTATAGGCTTCAGCCAGAACCATTAGATAAAAGACCAAAAACTAAAATCAGAGAAATATATGAAAGACCTATATATACACTATTTTTACCCAGATTATTAAAATTATACCTTACTGAGAGTCTCTGGGTACACAAAGAATTCTAAACAATCTAAAGAAAGTAGAATATAATGAATCAAACCCATAGCTGTAGTCTTGTAGGCTGCCAGGTCTACATCTGGGGGGTAAGAGCACAACTTATGAATAGCTAGAACTTCTAGAGCCAGGCATCTGCATTCTGACTTTCCATATGCCTCCAGATCATCTTGATAAAGACTTATAGGAAAGCTACATCAAAAGAAAACTGCACTTAAGAAGGAAAATAAAAGCAGATTATGAAAAGCTGGCATAAAATTTTTTTAAAGGTTATTAAGTAGGAATCCATGCTAAATAAAGTTTAGACCTTCAAAAAGCACTATTACTTACCTTTCAGGGTGGCCTTTTTCAATACTTTCATTGCATAAAGCTGTCTAGCATCAGATCCTGAGATTTTTTTTACTAGAAATACCTATTTGAAATGAAAAAAAATAAAATAAAAAATGTTTAAAATAAGCATTACAAAACACTGCTCTTCAATATATTAACTCAAAATATAATATAACCTAATTAGGATATACTGTGGTTTATTACCAGGTGGATTCAGATAAATTATGGATAGAACTACATCTTTTCAAATTTAACAATTACACACAGCAAAACCCTATAGCTTTAGTCTACAAGACAATTCGATAAAAGTTATAATAAAGAGGTTTTCACTTAATACTTTATCTGTTGATAAAGAAATCCCTGCACAAATGGATTACTGGGTACAGTTTTCATTTACAATTTCTTACTGTAGGACAACAGAATGTTTCTGTTATTAAAAATTACCTTGGTATTTAAGCAGTTTTCAAATATTTAATGAGGTTAATTAAACCATCATCTTACTGTTCTAACAAATAAAATATATAGCCAGTTCTGGCTTTACATAAGTGGACCTTTCTGTAGACCTTCCCCTCCCCGGGTGACACCCCTCTTGGCTGGCCCCTCCCCATCTCACCTGGGGCCCCATAGCTAGAGGGCCTGCCTAGGAGTCAAATGTACCTAGGAGTTAAGTGCATAAAGCGTACCTATTTAATACAAGAGAGAAACAGAAAGCACTGGACATGGTGCATACATTTATTAATATTTTGGCTGTTTTCAAAATACTGTGTAGCACTTAGTCAACCAATTATATATGGATAAAGTCTACTCTACATGATTCATGGCAAAAGATACCCCAGATAATCCAAATCCTTGGTGCGGATTTGTCATCACAGAGAGAACCTTCCTAGTATTAGCAGAAAAGTTGTTACAGAGAGTTCATAGGAACAATGTTACAAATAAGCAACTGGTAGAATGTATAGCAAATTTTAAAAATAATACATTGATGTTACCATGAAATAACAATGCTCAAGGCAACAATTTGTGGGGCATGTCTGATGTTTCACTCTTTTACCAAACTGTACCCAGGACTGAAAACTGAATTTTTAAAGCTTTTCTTCTTGTCAGGCAACCAGAAAGGTAGAAAAGGAGAAGCAAAGTGCCAATATATCACTAGTCCCTGAAAAACAGGAATGAATTTTATTACCTCTCAAAGATTTAGAGGGAAGGACTCTTAATATAAAGTATACAAATAAGCTATTTAAGAATAAGGCTTTTAAAAACTTGCCATAGGCAATGAGGCTACGGTGTAGAACAGGTGGAATAGTACAACCTACAAAGAGACTGCACACATTCTTCAGCTTCCCTAGTTCCTTTTTAGTCAATCTGCAGCATTCAGATTAGCTAAGATCTCTCTAGATCATTTAGACAGGAGAATAATCTAGAGAGACTGATCAGGAATGCATATTTACAAATCCAAGATTTTACAAATCTATGTAAATTAAATAAGAAACAGGGAAAATTAGGGCATTTATCTGATAGCTGTCTTCTCTTGAGGCTTCTTTATTAGCTCTGCTCTGGCCTATAAATGAGAAATAAGCCTTCTTCCCCATTCTAAACCTTTCCCTCCCATCTTTTAGTACGCCTGTTTCTAGCCTCACTGGGCTGTTGGCATACTCAGTGTCTGACAAACATAGCCTTGGCTTAACTTTTTTGGTGGAAGGAAGCAATTGGGGTTAAGTGACTTGCTCAGGGACACACAGCTAGTATGTGTCTGAGGCTGGATTTGAACTCAGGTCCTCCTGCTCCAGGGCTGGTGCTCTCTATTCACTGTGACACCTAACTGCTCTGGCTTAACTTTTTAAAATAGTACAATGTTCTGTTTTTTATTGCCAGGCAGAGCTAGGTGGTACAGTGGATAGATCACTGAACCTAAAGTAGAGAAAATGAGTTCAAATACAGCTTCAGTCACTTACTAGCTGTGTGATCCTGGGCAAATCTCCAAAATGAGGATATTCGTAGCACTTATCTTCCAGAGTTGTTGTAAGGATAAAATGATTAACACTATTTGTAAAGTGCTTTGCAAACCTCAAAGCACTAGGTAAATGCTAGCTATTATTATTGTGAGACTCATCTAAGCCTTGCATGGTTGTTTTCATTATAAAATATTTTTTAGCCTACATCGATTAAGTGGGATGGATGACAAAGAGTTTCTGCATTTGTAATAAAGTATTCAAATTTTAATCTAGGGTGAAAAAACCCACAACTCCTAGGATCTTGGATGCTGTCTTTTTTGAAATACGTATCTGGCATTTTATAGGCTAAAATAAAACCTTAAATGACAAAACAAATGGGCATTCAACTAAAGGGGATTTGTTAACCAATGTCTTTAGACTTTATGTATGAGTAGATGGTTCTATATTGTGCAAGCTGACATAATGCCTCAGATGTCCCGGCCTGAAGAAATCAAGTAATGTAACATATGTTATATCTACAATTCTGCATGACATAAAGAAGCTGGACCAGAAGAAATGGAAAGTTTCTTCTAGCTCTTAAATGCAGTTATTTGTACATTACTCTACAGAAATAAAAGTTGCAAAATATTAATGTCCATCAGCCAAGATGGTGTCTTGGTCATTTATTTTCTTTTTTAACCTTTTTAGAGAAGGTCTATAGTGATCATGCTTTCTGAAGATAAAATGTAAGGTAGGGCATGGACCTGTGCTATTTTGAGGTCCTCAAAGAGGTTCCAATATACTTGTGGATGACAGTTGCTTTCTTTTATTTCATAACTACATATACACTGTCACAGTAAGAAGTCACTGATATAGGTATGTGTTGCTTTTCTTTTAAATAAAATGTTTTCTAAATCCCGTGGTATGTGTTACTTAATTTTCATTACATATGTAAGGATAACATACCTTTCCAAACGATCCCTGCCCTAGTACTTTTAGAAGTTCAAACTGGGAGGGATCTGCTTTTTCATGTCCTTCTTTTACATGATGTGTGATTGCAATTTCTTTGATGCTGCCTTCTTCCTGTTGAGGCAAATAAAAGACCTCTGTTATAGCCATGGGAAAACAACACTTCAAAGTAAAGTTTTATCAAGCTTAAGAAAAAAAATCTCAAATTAAACAAAGTCACCTTTACATAGAAAGCCTGGTTTCAACAAGGAACAAATCAACTGGCAGACAAGAAAATACGTAACGATGCCAATACTGAAATTTTATATAAAAAAACTAGTGGGAAAAGGAGCAAAGCTTACAGCAGTTAGGTTGGGCCATGCATAAAGTACTGAGTCTAAAAAGTTAAGAAGATCTAAGTTCAAATCCAGCCTCTGACACTAACTAGCTCTGTGATCCTGGGCAAGTCATTTAACCTCTATTTTTACCTCTTTCCTCATCTGTAAAAGGAAGATAATAATAGTAACTTCTTTCCAGGGTTGTTGTGAGGATCAAATGCGACAATATTTATCAAGTGCTTAGCAAAGTACCTGGCAGATAGTAGGCACTATATAAATGCTAGCTATTATTATTATTATTATTGTTAGGCTTAAATATTTTTTTACAAGTGCAATGAGTGCCAATTTAGAAAAGCAAGAAAGTATATACTGCTCCATAAGCAGATACATCTGATTAAACAGTAAAATAATCTTATGATTCATGTAGATATTTAAAAATATTTCTAGACAGTAGAAATCCTATTGTGGAGAACTACTTCTATAATGAAGCTAAAAAATATTTATGTAAAACTTTTACCTGTGGTCCCAACCCTACAGTCTTACACCTGGTAGGACTTCAATAAATAACACTTTGATTAAAGAAACTTCCATTTCTACCAAATTATAAGCAGAATACTTAAAAAAATTAATAAAATTAAACTGAAAAACAAAAACCCCAAATTTATTTTAAAAATTCATTTTGCTCCTTAATGGCAATATGACACAGAACATGATATGTCTCATAATTTCCAAATTTAGCAAGTTTATGTATTTACATTAAAAAAAAGCTTAAGAATGAACATAATAAAACAGTGGCTTTTCACTTTTTAAAAAAATTATATATACGTTATATGGTATATATTAATTTATTTTGTTACATTTTAAGCTCCAAACTGTCTCCATCCCTCCCTCCCCACCCTACACTGGAGAAGGCCACCATTTGAAGCAGATATATACATGCGCACGCGCGCGCACACACACACACACAAAATCCTATGCATCTATGAATAGTTCTATTTTTCTATTTATCAGTTTTTTCTCTGGAGCTAGATAGTTGTGTTCTTTCATAGTCCTTTGTAATTGATTTGACTATTTATAATATATAGAATGCTTATTCAATAAGTTCGTAGTTTTTCTTCAAACAATATTGCTGTTACTGTGTACAACGTTCTCCTGGTTCTGCTCATTCCCTTCCTCATTATTTCATATCTTTCCATGTTTTTCTAAAATCAACTTGCTCTTCATTTCGTACAGCATAGTAGTCTTCGATCACAATCACATACCACAACTTATTTAGCTATTCCCTAACTGATGGGCATCCCCCTTAATTTCCAGTTCTTTGTCATCAGACCTAGAGATGTCATAAATATTTTAGTACAGGTTTTTTTTTCTTTTTTTCCCTGATCACCTTGGGAAAGAGACCTAATAGTGGTATTACTGGGTGAAAGGGTGTGTACACACACACACACACACACACACACACACACACACACACACACACACACACACACACACACAGAGTTTTATAACTCTTTGGGTATAATTCCAGATTGTTCTCTAAAATGGAAAGACCAGTTCACAGTTCTATCAATAGTGTATTAGTGTCCCAATTTTTCCACATCCCTCCAACATTTGTCATTTTCCCCTTCTATCATTTCGGCCAGTCTGATAAGTATGAGATGATATCTCAAACTTGTTTTATGTGTACTTCCCTAATCAATAACGATTTAGAACAGTGTTTCATATGATTATATATAGCTTTGATTTATTCATCAAAAACTGCCTTTTCATATCCTTTAACCATTTATCAATTGGGGAACGACTCATATTCTTATAAATTTGACAGAGTTCTCTATCTATCTGAGATATGAGACTTTTATCTGAGAAACTGCCTATAAAAATTTTCCCCTAAATTTTCTGCTTTCCTTTTAACCTCGGCTATGTTGGTTTTATTTGCACAAAACTTTCAAAATTAATGCGACAAAAATTATCCATTTTACATCTCACAATGCTCTGTATTGCCTGTTGATCCATAAATTCTTCTCCCATCTATAGGTTGATAGGTAATATATTCCATGCTCTTCTAATTTACTTATGATACCTCCCTTTATATCTAGATCACATATCCATTTTGACCTTATCTTAGGAAACAGTGTTAAGTTATTGGTCTATACCCAGTTTCTGCCAGACAGCTTTCTAATTCTCCCAAAATGTTGTTTTTTAACAAATAGTGAATTCTTATCCCAAAGGCTTAAAACTTTACATTTGTCAAACACAAAGTTACACAATAATTTACTACTGTGCATTGTATGCCTACTCTAATTACTGATACACCTTTTTACCAGACAGCTTTTGATAACTTCCACCTTATAATACAGTTTAAGATCTGGTACCGTTAAAACTCCATCCTTTACACTTTTTCCCATTAATTCTCTTGCTATTCTTGACCTTTTGTTCCTCCAAATGAATTTTATTATTTTTTCTAGGTCAACAAAATGATTTTTTTTGTTAATTTAGCTGGGATGACATTAAATAGATTAGTTAAGGCAGAATTGTCATTTTTATTATACTGGCTCTGCCCACCCATGAACAATGAATATTTCTCCAGTTATTTAAATCTGACCATATTTGTATAAAAAGTATTTTATAATTGTGTTCATGTAGTTCCTGGGCTTGTCTTGGCAGGTATATTTCCAGGTATTTTATGCTGTCTATAGTTATTTTAAATGAGGTATGTTTTACTATTTTTTCTTGCAGGATTTTGTAGGTAATATATAGAAATGCTAATGATTTATGCGGGTTTATTTTATATCCTGCTACATTCCCAAAATTGTTATCTGTTTCAACTAGCTTTTTAGTTGAATCTCTAGAATTTTCCAAGTATAGCATCTTATCATCTGCAAAGACATCATTTTATTACTTCACTGACTATTCTGATTCCTTCAATTTCTTTTTCTTCTCTTAGGCTAGCATTTGAAAAACAATACTAAATAATGCTGGTGATAATGGGCATCCTTGTTTCACTTCTAATCTTACTGGGAAGGCTTCTAGCTTCTGTTAATTGGGGCAATTTATATTTTTGTTAAGTATTCTTCCATTTCACTTAATTGTTAAATTTACTGGTACATAACTGGGCAAAATAACTTGTAATAATTGCTTTGATTTCATCTTCACTACTAGTATATTCACCCTTTTCATTTTTTACACTAATGATCTGATTTTCTTCTTTCTTTTAAGAAATCATATTAACAAACTGGTTTATCTATTTTGCTGTGCTTTTTTCTTTCATAAAACCAACTCCTAGTTTCATTTATTTATTTATTTATTTATTTATTTTTTGTTTGTTTGTTTGTTTATTTATTTATTTATTTATTCAATGGTTTTCTTACATTCAATTTTATTAATCTCACTTTTAACTTTCAGGATTCTCAATCTGGTGTTTAATTGAGGATTTTTAATTTGAGCCTTTTCTAGATTTTCAAAAATTGCATACTCACTTCATTGATCTGTTCTTTCTCTATTTTATAGATGTAAGCATTTAGAGATATAAATTTTCCTCTGATTATTGCTTTTGCTGCTTCTCATAGGTTTTGGTATATTGTCTCATTATTATCATTGTCTTTAATAAAACTATTTTATCATTTCTATGACTTGTTCTTTATTATATTTTGGTGTCTTATTAAGTATTTTTACTCTATAGGGATCTTTAATTTTTAAATGTGTTTCTTAAAAACAACATATTATTGGATTCTGGTTTTTAATCCATTTGTTTTTATGGGTGAATTCAACCCATTCACATTCAAAGTTATAATTACTAGTTGTGTGAAATAGCATTCAAGAAAAAGCTGTGTAAGAGGGGATGGACCAGAACAAATACACAATGAGAAAATCCATGCTAGAGGTAAGTTGATCTTTAAAATATTTGAAAGCCAAATTACAACTTATATGAGGAAACTGAAGATGCCAAAACAATGGAGAAATTACAAATGACATTAATAACTTCTCCCCACCCTAGGCAAATTGGAGGTCATTATACGTTGATTTTCTCATCTTTAAAATTTTTCTTCATGAAAATCATTTATATATGCATCAAGAATATTATTGATGAAAATATGAGAAGGGAACAGGCAGGCTCTAATAAAGTTTTCTATCACAGACATCTTAAGGGTTAGAAAATTAACTGAAAGGAAAAGAGAATTTCAGATTCTTATGAGGTTAGTTAAAAAAGAACAAAAAAACTCAAGCCCAGCCTTAACTTGATAGAGCATTAACCTTAAGGACTATCTTCCCACAAATCTTTCATGCTAAGATCACATAAAATTTCCTGACACACGAATGTATCTACATAGATAAATGCTCAGTGACCACCTGAATATTAACATCAAATGAGCCACCCACTTCCTCTCCCCTCAAAAGGGAAAAGTACACTTGCTAAAGGCATCGATAATTGTCACAGAGGGTATCCCCCACACAAGACTCATACCAACAAGATCACATATATAAAAGCATAGACTGTCATTTTAAACCTTTCCCAAGACAACAAATAATACTATTAGTTTCAAACAACATTACGTTAGAGTAACAGGAAATTATTTCCTAACTTTATATTAAAATAACAGTTTATTGCTACATGAACTTTAAAAATAACCGATTTATTCATTTACTGAATAAACCTACCATGTGCAGAACTCTATGCTTGGCACCACAAAGAATTAAAAAGATAAGGAGGAACAGTTGGGTACAGTGGAAAACACACTAGATTTTTAAGAACACCTGAACCAGTTATTTTGTGCTCTTCTAACCCCAGAGTATGCAACT